CATCTTTTCTTTTTTTGAACCAAATAGACTATTAGACCCATTGATAATGTGACAAAATTTGCAATCCTGCACTAAAAATTACATTCACATACAACTAATTTAAGGTTGCAACAATCGCTTACGGGCGAGTAATCTGATAATTATTTAAATTGACAGAAAACATTAAAAAATATGCATTAGCATCTCCTAAATCTCCAAGATCACGTCTTTGAGTTTGTTGTGTCCATAGATAGAGTTTAGTGTCATGTATGAGAAGGAAAACAGTCAAATCATCACAGCTGACACTATTTGGCATTATGTTTAATAAATGACTAAAATGATTAATTGATTAATCCACTAATTGTTTAAACTCAAATCATTTGCAATCACACATATGTGCCACTAATAAATGTAAAGCTGCATGCCTTACAGTTTTTTTAATCAACAAAGTCACATTTTAATTGAATCTGCAAAGTGATATCTAAATCAAAACATTTTATGGTTATGTTTACTAAAACACATGTTTACGGTTCTAAGGGAAAGATTATATATTTTTGTTTTAATTAATAAAGCAAAACAAATAAAAATAACCTTCAGCTCGGAACTGTAGTTTTTAGAAATCATTATTTAAACAGAGGTATATAGAGGGACTCAAAATAAACTACAGTACCTATGTTCATCGTATTAAAAGATCATGCCACTCAATGGTGTAGGTCATTGATTCAATGCTTTTTATTAGAATCAATCCATTGCTAGTTTGAGTATTTTCATAGGATTTGTTGAGCATTAGAAAAATGATCCCTTAAGCAAGTATTTTAGTCGCTTCAAACTGATGTCAGTGTCATATGTTTTGCACCCCCAACCATCGACCCCGATCTATTCCCTGCGTGATAATGATGATTAACTGAGAGACTGACTGGAAGATACTATATTAATGAATCATCGGGCAATGATTACTTCATAAATATCTGTGAATCGACATACTGACCACTTTCTTCATAAGTCATTCCTAATTAACTCTGAACCAGTTGCTCAGTGGCACAAAATAGCAATCAGGAACAACTCATGAAGAAAGTGGTCAGTATGTCGATTCACAGATATTTATGAAGGAATCATTATCTAATGATTCATTAATATAGTATCTCCCTGCAGTCAGTTCTAGTAAATCATCATTAGCTACAAGTATAGTCGTCCATTCAGAGTTAGTCTACTTATTAAGGATTAATTTATCATCAGGTTGTGCCTGATTCATTCCTCACTCATTCCTTAGTAACTACTCACTCAGTTTGTGTATCGTATTGTAAAGTGTTACCACATATTTTGTAGAAGACAGTGTTGGTGAACACACACACCCTGCACTACACCCATCTCCATCTCGATTTTGAAACGTGCAACTGTGAAAATCACATCCTCACCCTTTTTTTTAAATGCCTTTCTATTTGCGGAGTGTTTTTGTGCACCACATGCCAATATTTGTTATCCATCAATGTGACAGTGAACAGCAGAGGTATATGACAGAGCAGAGGAAGTCCCACGTTGGCAGGAGTGTGAAGCTCCCTCTGTGACAAACACCAAAACAAGAGCTAGTCACAGCTTGGTCATTCCTCTCAGCCTTCAATAACACAATTACTCATCGCCAAGGGGGCTGTGCAGAAGAATACATGTGCAGTATGACACAAATGATGAGACAAAGAGGTCAAAAAGTCAAGAAGTGGAATGCTACCTGTATCGGCAGTGTTGCTGCACACAGACAATGGTTTCAATGAGGGGCACTCCCATCATGTCATATTTTAGGAGGGATTGCAAGGGAGCTGATCCCAGCCTATGACTCCATTTCACCTGTTTTATGGTAAACAAATCCAGTCAGGATTTTGGAGGATTAGTGTCCACGTAATTCTTCGTCATGAAGTACTCTCACTTAATCCGCTTGGAATTTGCATTCGTTTAAAGCTTTTTGCCTGTTTGATGCTTTGAATTGTCCCTTTAAATACCTTCAACTGCTGCCTGGTTATGAATTACAACTACAAGGGGATTGTCCATGCTTGAGAGACAGAGAGTGTGCGTGGGAGAAGGAGCGAGGGGGTGTTGTTTGACAGATACAAACAGCCCACGATAAATCCAGGTGCTTATAGCTTGGAAAGTTTCAGCCATAAATTGCAGGGCCGGATCAAGGGAATGTGCATCCGAGATGGCGGAATCGATTTCATTTAGAACTAATCAACGGCGGCTCTTAAGAGTGACAGCAAATAACAAAAAAGCAGAGAGGGGGCGAGTAAAAGGGGCTTCGGGCCACTTTCCACTCCAGCCTGCTCAGAGGGGAGCATTCAGCAGCGCAAATGTTTCAGCATTTTGTTCTCCTGTGTCAAGTAAATTGCTTAAATTGTTCAGATCTTTGCAGGATGTATTACCACTGGCTGCAGCATCAATATCTTTTGTCACGCTTAACGTGTTTAGCAGCCAAAGACTGTACAGTTAAGGTCTGCTTTAGAGTTGTGAATTGACTGTGCTAAATTCTACATTCCGGTGTTAAGCTGGATTTCTTATGACCAATCAGATCAGTAAATAATAGAGTGGAAATACAAGAGTTTGTTGTTTTATTGGCCTGAGCTGCTGCCCAAGGATGTCTTCCATGGTTTCCATTAGGGAAATTAGACATTTGCATGGTTTCAGATGGTTTCCATGGTTTTATTTATATATATACATTCAGTGAATATGACTGCATATAGAAAGAACCATTGCATTTCATATACATGTAAATAATGAGGTTTGGAAGGTGGAGGAGGTTCAATTTCTGGAAGCAGGCAGTAGTCTAAGATACAGTGCTTGTTGCTGTGCCAAAATCACAATATGGACTTCCTAGTGTTCGCAGTCTAAAAAAAAATAATGTTCCTTTTGAGATGGTCACTGTTACAAATGAGGTCATCATAGACTCATACATTTTTTGCCTTGACTTGGCCGAGACACAAGGCAGGCACATTAGATGCCGACCAATCAACTTTCATGATGTACACATGATGATCAGAATAGAGGTATCACGAACCGTCTCCACCGTTCCACCTGACAGCACCAACATCATTCCTTTTTCACTTCACCATTTTTACATTTGTGCAGGGACGGGCGCTCTGTGCAAGGCAAAAACAATTATTTTCATTGGGACATGTCTTGAGGCAAATGGTGTGTCAGTTGTCTTCCTTTATGACACATTGCACAGAACAAAATGAAAATAAAATGTATATTACAAAAAAAACACATAACGCTCTTTTTGTTTTTGATGCCCCAATCATGTAGTTTAATCTCATTGTCACATATGATTGGATGATGTACAGAAAGGAACGTGTGACTATTGTTTTGTATGTGTTCTAATTTGCCATTTATATGGTAGCTATCCCTTTAAAATCTTGGCCATCGTGGTCAATGTTGCAAATACATTAAAAGGCTAGTCAAAGCCACCTTATTTATACAGCTTAATTAATGCACAAGGCAGTTTCAGAGTGCTTTACAAACATGTCAACCTTAAAACATTTTTGAAAACAAACAAAATGTGAAAATAACATAATAAAATATATTGCAGTATTGGATTTTATTGCTATTAGATCAAAGTGATGAAATTGTGGGATTTGCCAAAAGCAGATATTCCTGTTTGGTAATTTTAGAAAATCTCAGATTTTCCCAAAAATGTATTTTATCAAGCAACAGAGTATATAGATATCGACATATCAGGTTTCACATAATTTGAAAGAGGGTTTTGACAATTTCTCCCACTCCTACTGGTTAGTCACTGACATTTCACTGAAGTAAGATTCATGCTGTCTATCTAGACGATCTGTTAGTTTCAGAATTCATCTTAAAACATCAACCACTGTTTGTCACCTCAAATAGAAGAAAACCAGAAAACATGTAAGCAGATTTTTATTTGTCAACAACACAAGCAGGAAATTAGCCAGATCATCCTGTTATTTGAAGGTTCCTTTACCATCACCCTCCTTGAACAGACTAATCATCCCTCCGGTGGTCTTTATCTCCCCTATCACCTTTCAAACACTTGGTCATGTTGGAGCACCCAGTTTGCTGTTTTACATTATTAGTTCCCTGCTGGGGGCACTCCCTCTTATGCAGAGAAGCATGGGAAAACGAAGGTGAGTAAGATAGAAAGCGACGGCTCCTGCCTGCTCGTCGCTGGGGGAAGAGGAGGAGGAGGCGGCGTTGACGGCCTAATCTCTGGCTCTGATTATCTTCTCATTACAATCAGACGGGAGCCACTCGAAGAAGAGGAGAATGTGTAATTACGCTCAAATCTCCCATGACTAAAACACAGGATAATAAGCAGGGCTAGAACTGTGTGCTCACATCTAATCATTCAGTTTATTTAGTCATTCGTTCTGCAGCCGCATTTGACTATGGATGAGGATTTTTGGGAGGTTCAGGTGGAAGTGGCTGAATTAGTAAACACCTGATTTAAAGCAGCATTATTTGGAAGCCAAAAATAGTTAGCCTCAATTTTAAATTTGCAGCGAATATTTTCAAACACAAGGCTGAGTAGGTGGCTTTTTTGCCCATGATCATGTGAATAACTGTTATACATAACTAACTAACTAGTTCTGGTTTATCAGAAATAGGGAAATAATTCAAGGAGAACTTCAGCCATTCTTACATGACCATCTATCGCCCGTGGCTGCATCTCCCCAGCACAAGATAGAAAACACCATTTCCCAAAATGTCAGGGCAACTGAAGCATGTAAATAACTACATTTCAATTGACACCTCGATTTGAATGGTAAATGGCTGACCTCCAATTTTCCCAGAGAATGGCTGGAACTGACAAATGGAGGGGAATAAAACACATATCCAGTAGACCAGAGGGAATAAGGCTAACCAAGCATGCCAAGTCCTCCTCACTGTTGTATGATGGAAGCGTTAACTGTGTGGACAACTACAAAAATCCCTTTTTAAAAGTTCTTATGAGAAGGCACAAGAGCGAAAACTAAATGATTTTGCTTTTTTGTTTTTTGTTCCTGTCACAGCTTAGAAACAACAGTCTGCCTGCCGCTCAAGACGGATGAGAGGAAACCGGCAGACACCAGGGTGGACAGCGCAGACAGAAATGGCTGCATCAAAGGAAAAGGACGTAAACGCCACAGTCATCGCAGGGCCAGGAGGTGAGATAGTCTTTATGCTTTCACAAATGCCAAGCAGGAGCACTTAAAAACCATCAAGACAGTTTTCTGATCTCAAAGAACGAGCGCTTCTAAAGACATGTAAAAAACTGAAAAATCAATGTCCTTTAAAGTTGTGGGATTGTTGATCACAGTGAAACATTTCTGATGATGAATGGTTAAAGTTTTAGTTTTTGGGAGTTGCTTTTGTAGATTTAAGTGCTGGTGATAAAGCCTTTTTAACAGTACACCAAAACTCCTTCCGAGCTTGACTCTCAGTGAGAAAACAGAGCTAATCTCTATATTACGGTGCAGGGAATGTAAACAGTCTTATCGGGTCAGGCCCAGTGGAGAAATACAAACACGTTGTGAGGAATTCCACACGGTGTCATTCAGATCCGCTCTTTTCACCAGCACCTTGAACCAAATGTCTCCTTCACAGACCGAGAATCGTTTTCAGGCTTTTTATTCGGAGGTGGGAGAAATCAATTCAGGCAGATTTTTTTCAGAAACCTCTTAATTAATCTGACACCTTCAAAGCCTTTTGCAGTCACACAGCAGGGAAGCAGCCAGTGATATGTAAAACACGACTGAAGCCGCATCTGAGGTGTGTTAGAGCGGATCATAAACATGAATCACTTCTCTTTGGATGAACTTTACCCAGCGGCTGCTTCTCTTTGTTTTGGAACAGCAAGCACAGAAAACGCGCAGGGATGCCAGCTTCTGATAATAATTTTTCTGGTTGTGTGTGCAAGATCTGATTGAAAAAGATTTACAGTGCTTCTTATCCTCAAAACTGAGAGTTCTTTTCTGTGAGTTGAACTTACACTAGAGAGCTTCTGTGCTCAGTAACTCTGTATGGCATACAAAGTCGTTTGAAACTTAAGTTCTGAGGAATCACAAGTGATGTCTGCCATAAAGTGGACACAGCACTCAGAAAGGAAGGATGTCAACAGCATAATCGTATCGCCTTCTTCTACATTTAGTAATAAGATGGCACCATTAATAGTCATTACACAAATTAAACACGCTGCCTCTGCCATCTTATGTTGCGTCTCTGCTATTTTTTTGCTGTCTTTACTCTGCAGCATTTCTGTGTGGTTTAGACAAATAAAACAGGTCTATTTTCATGCTGTAATCGTGCACCAAAAACAAAAAAAAGCGAGGAGTTGCATTGGTGTGGGCAGTCACTAGTGAGAGGATGAAGTACAATCCAGGAAGTCCAGTTTGAGTTACATATAGGATTTGTCATTTATACTCATGAGTCTTAAAGGTAATCAGATGCTAAAACACTAAACTGTGGTTTGTGCTGTACTCGAAATCAAATAAAAAAGTTGTCACGTCATCATTTTCTCACATTGTCAGTAAAACCAGTTAAACAGCAGAATCTTGCCCGTCATGCTACATGTAACATTTGTGTCAACCCAACACAATGTGCTGCTGGATGATGTTGTGGCACGTATAGTTTTTAGATGAGATTTAAAAGTAAAGACAGTTTTAGCAGACCTGATGCTAAGTGTAAAGCTAGAGCTAGATCCTCACTTGGATTCAGGAATAGTTCAAGGACAGATATTGGTGTACTGACTTTGACTTCACCCAAATTCTCCAGTGTTCTGAATACTAATGTTTCAGATCACTGATCTCACTGATCACAAAGACAATGTCTCTAAAACACTGTGAGAATCAAAAGTAATAAAATCATCAAGGCAACTTTGACCACAATGTCAGCTGGTAGGAGGACAGACTGACGGAACAGCAGCTACACACAGATGCATCACCGCCACTTTAAGCAAATAAAGATCAGAAGTGATCAAGAATAAAAGAAGTACATGAAAAACATTGTCCTTGTGCTTATTTTTTTCCATTTAGTAAAAAATGTTTCATGAGGTTGATTCTTTTCCCAAGTCTTAGTCTCAGTTACAAAGCACAGCAAGTTGCTGCCTGAGAAAAGTCTCCTCTGTTGAGAAAGACATTTGTTCTTGGGATTGCTATCTTGCTAATTGGTCTGCAGCAGCCAAATTTAGCAGAGCATCCAATGTTAATTATTATAAAATCACAAGCCACTGACACTTCCTTCTAGAAACAGCATGTTAGCTACAATGAGAAAGTTTTAGAAAGTCGTTGTTACCAAACCTGGCTCACTAAAAAAAGAGGCACACAAATGAACCATTTCCAGTTCTGTTGAATCAGTGAAAACATTTAATTACTTGGAAATTGCACCAGAAACTCAAAAAGAAGAAGAAATACACCTACATACATACTGCGCCTGACATCAAGCCAGTGATGTATTTTTTATACGACATGGATTGGATGTAGTTACATACATTCATTTATGGTATTCATGCACAATTGCGGCAGTGAAAAAAGCAACATGTTCTTCAAGAAAATAGGCTGCATTCAGCATTGAGAATATTGTCATCAGATGTCCCCAAATCCCATTTTCATACACCATTGTTTCGCGCAATCACCATTCCCAGTGTAGCTGGCAATTGACTGCTCTCTCATTCTCCCTTTCATTCTCTCCACCTCATCAAAAGAAACTGTTTCTGCTGGCAAGAAAAAATGCAAATGCTTGCCTTGTGCTCTCTTTCTACAAGGCCAGAATGGTAGAGGTGTTAATGAGTGACAAAGTGTTCTCATTACCAAGAGAGGGTACTTGGGCTTGGTCTGTCTAATCAACCCTAATGCATTTCAGTTCCTAATGCTCCCAAACTGCCGACTACACCAAGCAGGGCCATTTATTATAGGAAGACAGTCTTCTGCATCCAGTGAAACTGGCACATAGTCTCGAGAGCTCTGTGGTCGCATATATCAAGCAGGAGTGCAGTTTGTCACTGTCTGGATCTGATCACGCTCACTTGTTAACTTGACCTGCTGTTTGTGTAAGGTACATTTCCTTGAATTTTGACATGGTCAATGATTACTCTCCAGTAGGCATGAAAGTGCTTATAAACGTGTGTCATACAGCTACTATTTATATACAAATAATAGTAGTTGAACGTATTCTGCCAAGAGCTAAGCTAAGCTAATTCTGTGCTATTAAAATATTATGTGATTATTGATGAAGTTGTTCAGAAATTGACTTTTTTTTATTCTCAGTAAGACAAATCAAAGTACAAAATCTGTTACCTGCAATTTAGTTTCCATGCATCGCTTTTCTTATTTATATCCCGGTAACTGGTTAAAGTTATATTGAGAGAGAATTGGGAAGCCATTCATCTCAACGATCAGATTTCCCTTTGAATGTTTATTTGCCTTAAATAGTGAAGAAGAAAACAACAAACATGATTGATTGTCTGGTACTTGGGAGAAAGGTTTGGAAGATTTGAACCAAAGTTGTTTCACTTGATCGCCTCGAAGTAAAAGGACCTGAGAGGTTTGACTTCACAGCAGGTTAGAGCAAACAATAACAAATAAAATCCTAAATAGAGATTTTACAAATGACATGTTGCTTTGATTGTTATAATAAACAATAAGATGTAACAACTGAAAAGGACATTTGTAATTCAAGCCAAGAGCTTCATTTGTTGATTCATGGAAGAGTAGTGTGTCTGCACGTACCCTTTTATTTATTTCTGTAATGCCTCATGTATCCATGCCTGCTCTCTCCTTTATCTTATTTAATACTCTACCATTCATGATGTTAACACTCGAACATGAATTCTGAATTAACCTAGTCCAGACAACATTTGCAGTTTTCCCAATAAAGCTTGTTTCATCCTCTTATCAAAGCCAAGGTGAGGCTGCCCGAGTAAGTTGCAGTCAAAGGCATCTTCTTGCACATCTCTCCTTTACCCTGTATCAGCCTACACAGTGGCTCACATCCTCCTCTTCTACTTTTTATGAATTTTAGTCTGTCTGTACTTGAAAGGCTCATTCATGAGGCTATGGCGCTTCAAAGGCCTTCATCTCCTTTTCCACGTCATTCATTTTCAGAGAGCAACTGAAGGGGACCTCTGGACAGCAATCAAGCTGGTCAACAGATGGAATCTGACAAGTTTCTTTTCTTGCTAATGATGAATTCACACTTGAAGAGAAGAATGGATGGAGGACAAGAATTTATTAGGCTAGCATGAGCATGTGTGTCTATGCTCGAGTCTACAAATCAGATGTACCAGCTTGATGACAGAAATTAGTAGATGGTCTCCAGTGCTTTGAGCTTTTTCTCTCATAGTCTACACCCGAGTTGATGCAATCAGTCTTAAAATGTTTGAGTTGGCTGCTTTTTTTGGTTTATATACTGTGGGTGCTGTGGTTTTATCTGCAAAAGGGCTGGGTGAAGTGTAGTATTGATGACAGCGTGTGATGATGACAAAATACAGGCTGTGTTAAAATACTTGTACAAAGTCTGCTGTGGTTCTGGCAGAGCTTTGTCAAATCTTTTTAACACAAATCCTGTGTTACAAACTGGAGGCGAGGAGTTTGACGTTGGCATTTCACAGGCAGTTGCTAGTTAATACATTTTATTGTAGAAAGAGTAGGATCCAGTGTTTTTTTATAGTTAGGGCCAAAAAGTCAGGTTGACCTTGACTGTAAACATTTGATTGAGAATTGGGAACAATTCTCAGTTCTTCACTCCAAAATAGACAGTTTAATGGGATTATAAATTCTGATTTTGAGTTAGTGAGTTGGGGGATTTTTTGTTTCGTTCAAAGAAGAAATCTGTCTCTTGCAGGTACCCCACCTGAATGAAATAGCTACACTATGAGGCCGGAGGACTCTAAAAATTAAAAACTCTATATATAACACTCTAAAAACTTCCTTCCATATCTAGTCTAACAAGATTAACAAGACGGTTCAGTATCATTGACAAAAATAACAAATTCATAATTTAAAACAAATTAAAAATGTCTATCCATTTCTGCTACAACTGGCATTACTGTTGATTCATTTTATTAAGTGAAAGTAACTAAAATACCAGTTAGTGTCCTACTGTACATTGTGTTTGTATGTTGGAAAAAGAGAAAGAAGAGGGGAAAAGGACAGCCCACAGGCAGGCAGAACACAGGTTCAAAGGCTAAATAAGCAGTGAAGTCAGCTATGTACACTGGCAGTGGATGGGATGTATCACAGATCTATCTCATGTTGTCATCAGTCTTGACTTCAGTGAAGCTCACTGGCATACGATCTGTTTTGTGCTTTGTACCAGTCTGGATAGGATTTCATCATCCTGTTGTGATGGGATCATCTCATACGGGACATTTGGCTCACAGATAATCTTGCTTGTGTGTGTCAGGATCAATCAGGATGCATTTATGTGCAGTTCTGTGATGCCAATGATGAGTCATGTGGATTATTGTACCCCACCCAGTTTGTTTAGGGTTTTTTGTCAGATTTTAGGAAAGAAAAGACTTGTATAGAGGGAGTGTCACACTTTCACACAGAGAAAAGTATAAGCAACACTTATGTGTTATTACATAAATAAAAGGTGAATAATATTCCTGTGTAACTTCTCACACATTAAAATTGTGTATTAAGGCTGCTGTTAATGGGCTGTTTGCACTGTTTCACTGATTGTTATTATTTTAGATGGTGACTACTTTTTCAGAGATAATAACGTGTTTTGTAATTTGGGTGAACTAACCCTTTAACACTCAGAGTCCAAAAGTCTAGATATTGGGATTCAGAAGTTGGAACTCATGCCCCAAAAATATGCTCCTCCCCTTCTTCCCTTTCATATCCTATCACTTCAATGATTAAGTACTCTCTTCTCTGTTCTCTGCTCACAGCCCCTCGTTTGATGAGGAACTCTCCCCTCGCCCGAAGGGGAAGAAGAAGAAGAGAAAGTCCGAACGGAAAAGGAAAAGGAAAAGGTCAGTTCCTGAACTGAGATGACTCTGCAGTGAAGTGCATTGTTGGACATCTTTTGTCGTGTTTCCTGAAATAAATAAATAGAGGGGAGGTGTACAGGAGAACGCTTCACTCTCTTAAGTTCATGTTTATTTGTTGTCCCGCTTTAGGTCTCCATCTCACAGCCTGTCGCCCCTGAGGAAGAAGAAAAAGAAGAAGAAGAAGAGCTCCAAGAAAAGCAAGCGGCATAGGTAGTTCTTGCTTACTTACGTCAATATTGGCAAAATGGCATGACATTTATTTTTAGGTGAAATCATCTTTTTTTTCCTATTCCAGGTATACCTCCAAAAAGTCCAAACACAGGTACTTATATGATTATTTTGTGTATAATTGTAGCATGACTGTGTGTGTCTGTAATTTCTTAACAAAAGACCAAACAGTTCTCACCTGCCTCATACATTTCTGTCATAAATACGGTGTAATATTTAGCATCTGCTTTCAATTAGGTTGCTAGATGTCCAATTTAAAAGCCAGGTATTTACAGTATGTATTAGGAAGAAAGCAGGCTGTCTGTCCAGGCTTTGTCAATCTTAATATTCCTCGCTCACGATTCTGTTCTCTTTCATCCCACCAGTTCTTCAAGTTTAAAACATAAGAGGAAGGATGAGCGCAAGCACAAGAAAAGGTCAGTCAGTGTGATTGTTGTATCAGAATCATGTACTCTGCAAATCTTACACAACTTTTTTGGCCCCCCCCTCCTCTTCTTCCCCCATGGTAAGCCTATCCACCCTCTTCAGAACACCCATTGCTGAGGAAGAAGGAGAGGATGCTCCAAAATGCTCTCATGTAGGGGCACGATGGGTGAATACAGAAACGTGCAGCCTTTATTTTTCTGAGCAAAGCGTGAAAAAGGCCTTGTAAAGACGAAAACTGATTGAAAGCTTGAGCTACAAAGAGAGGGAAAGTAAGGGGTGAAAGAGGGTAAGAGAAACCAATTTCATGCTGTGATCTTTCAACATTTTATAATTCGACTTTGGATGAGCAGGCCGTTGTTTGTGAGCACAGAACCAAGTTCAGTTGCTGCTTCCTTGAGCAAAAACCACTGCTTTCCTGCTCTCTACAACCCTCTTCTCTCGCTTCTTTTGTTATCTTCAAGCCTCTGCTGTCTCTTCATACCACTGCCTTCGCTGACATGCTCTCCTCTTTCTCAAACACAGTTCATGTACATCAGAGGTGGACATAGACGCTCGAAAAAAACCTACTTGAATTATTCTTCAAGTTACATATTATGCTAGGTCTGATTTACTATTTTAATACTGAATTGTGCAGTTTAAAAAACATTTGTAATGCCAACAAATGTTGTTCTATAAGGCTGCAACTAATAATAATTTTAATGTTTGATTAATCTATCCATAGTATGCAGAGAAATAGATCCACTCTCTGGAGTAATAGATGGGTAATTCCAGTTTATTCCAGTTGGGTAAATCTTATTTTCCTGGTTTTAGATTTTATTCCCTTGCATGACTGAACTGCCATTTGTTTTATTCATTCAGCCAGACTTTGTGTTCAATAGCGACTGATGTAACCATGCCGCCAGAGTTATTTTCTGTTGGCACAGAATCTTCTGTTGCAGTTAAAGGTCCGGTGTGTAGTATTAGTAGTATTTAATCTAGAGCCAGTTTTTGGTTTGTCCGTTTTAAGCTATACTATAGATACATGTTGGTTTGACATGGCAGCCTCCATGGAGTTTGTAGGTAAAAACGGCTTGTTCTAAGGTAACGAAAACACAACAATTTTAATCTTCAGGTAATTATACAGCAATGAAAACATACCTATGAATATTATATTTCATTTCTGCCAATGGGTCCTCCTAAATTTTACACACCGGACCTTTAACTTGATGTTTTTCACACTGATCAAAGAAGTATATTGATTTAGAAGTTACTTCTGTAAGTCGACTTTCAATAATCTGTACAGCTGTGCAGATCTCATTTTTTGCATAGTTGGCACCTTAAATCTTCCCACTAGTGAACTCCAGGTTAGCCTAACCTATTTGGAAGAGAAAACCAAGGTAATTAATAACAATATTGGTCAAAAAGCATTCATTGACAATGGGTATAAACTGCACAGCAGCCACAGACCGTTAGCTACAAATGTAATCAATTTACAAAGGCATACAACAGCTAGAAGCAGAAAATCTTTACATCTGAGAAGGTGGAATTTGTGGTAAATGATTAAGTGTTGATAGAAATGGTTGTCAAGTAATTTCCATCGAGTAGTGCTCTTAACTCCTTATCCACTTGTGTCTTCTCTCCTCTGCTCTCCTCATCACCTTCTTCAGTTCACGGACTCACTCACGGCGGAGACGACGCTATCGGAGGTCAGAGTCAGACAGTACTTCCTGCCAGTCTTCCACAGAGGACAGGTAGGAACCCATCCTTCCCCCTCCTAACCCCCTATACTCCCTGAGTTTATCTTATCAGCCTGAGGTGTCTGCCGAGTTCCTGGTCACACCACAGTGATGACTGATAAGACAGAGGTGACTTCCTGATCTCAGACACGACCAGTTGTTATCACAGCTTCACAGGAAATGGCCCCAAATTCACTCCACAGATCAACGCACTCAATGATACTGAAATATTGCAAAATCTTGGACATGTGATAGTATGAAAGATGTTGTTTTTCACAGGTTTTATGGATTATACTGAACAGGGTCGATGGCATGATCATCTCTTGTAGCCACTGTTGATAATGAATCTTTGAATAATCATTGATCACTGAATGCAGAATTTTGCATTTGGAGTCAGAATGGCATCCCCAGGAACAGCTCAATTAGTGAACTTTGACACAAATAGGTAAAATTCACTTCAGTTTTGAACTCAAATTGATGTCCAATTTTCAAACTGAACTAATCTGAATATATTCTGAAATAAACCGTTTTCACATGAAATAAACACAGGTGTTACCAATGGTGTTCTGTTCCATTCAGCTCAAACAGGCTGCTATTGTGCATGTTGTCTCACTGGAAAGGCTCTGCTACACTAAATGGACTGAAACTTTAATTAGTGTTATTGGTGACACCTGTGATTACTGTATTGTTATATGTCAAAATGTCTGCTGTGAAAAAGGTCTATTACTTTATTATTATCTTTTTTTCCATCTGTGGACATACTAAGATAAAATCTAGCTGGAGCTCTTACTTATTTATTCATTATTATGAGTTTTAGGATATTAAGAGAAAATCACAATTCAAATCAAGAATTGAGTGTTGAACTAAACTTTCCATCATTTTTATGTAGATGAAACTCAACACAACTAATTTTCCCAGGTAGAATATCACGCATACAACCATTTCTTTACAGTTTTTCTATCATTAGACAAGATACCCAAAACAAAATAAGAGGCTGTTGCTGAAGCAAATTCAGATATTTTACTGATCACATGTGCTCAAGTGCCAATTTTTTCCCCATCCTCTTAAGTGCAGAATTGGCTGTAACTGAAAAGAAGCATTTACGTAATGATGCTGTGTCATGGAAACTAAATCCAGCCTTTTCCCACAGACACCATCTGCAAAAATCTGTGGTGCATCAGGCGTTAGGAGACCTGGCAGCTGTAGTAGAGGAAACCAATGGAGTGCTTGACCACACGGACATGAAGTGGAGACCTGCAACCAAATCAGTGTGTAAAACGGCTCCAAAATATCGCTCCATCCTCTCAACTGCCACCGTAAGTACACTTTAGGACTCTTAACGGTGCTGTCGCTTGTTCAGTTTGATTTCTCAGTTATGGCCATGTAAAACAACTTAAATAAAATAAAAGGCCTCCAGTGAGGTGGTTTGGTCTGGAAAATTATTTTCAATAAAAAAAATCTTTAGCTCACTATATATATATATATATATATATATATATATATATTCAATCAAAATATAATGTTTCAGAACACAATATGTCTAAATTAATTTAGTTATCCTTTAAGGGAAGAATATTTACAAAATCAAACCCTACATGGCCTTACCCTGAGCTCCTTTTATAAGTTATTTATTTTGCAGTAATTTTGTCAGTTGTTGTTTTTCTGTTTTTACAATTAATGTCATTAAGTACTTAGTAGAGAAGACCCCATAATAATAATGATACAACTGGAAAAATTACACATTCTCGAAAGCTTTTTTTCCCCTTCTGCTGAGAAATAAAGTGTCCAATTATGAAACAACAACAACAACAACAATTATTTTTTATTTTTAAGGGTTTAAATTAAGTTATGATTAAGAGTTATGGACATTTTGTGATGATGTTAATGAATATTGTTTTTTAATGGATTATTCAAACAAACTTTGTGCATCATTACTATGGTAAAGATTAGGAAAATAAAACACTTGGTTACAGCTTTAAAATGTTTTGATGTTGACTAGATTGGTAGTTGACTCTTCCGGGGTTTATCTCTGCTGTACTGCATAGTACCCTGTTGCAAAACAGTTGTGATGCATATTTTCTTTTTAATGAAGGGAAATGAAATAAAACCATGTTTTTACCATTCTGCATTTGTTTTGTCAAATTATAATCTGCAAATAGCAGGCAATAAACAAGCGCTTCCTGCTTGTTTATTGTCATCAAAAGTGCCACAGACTGTTTTTAGTACACATAGAGCTTTAAGGTTAGGGACAGTTTGAGATTGGACATAAACCGTTAGTTTCTGCTATGCTACATAAGTGTCACACTGCTTCCTGTACTTGCACCCAACACTGACATTTAATGTCAACATAAACATTAAGGAGACTGAGCTGAAGACTGAGATAAATACTGATCACTTAATATAGTAATTATTGAGTTTGGAATTATTAGTGTTCTTGCCACTTTGTATTAAAAGTCTCTCTGTTGTGCATTTAGAATATGTTTTTTTTGTTAAATATTATATTTTATCTTTGACCTCTAAATACTTGCTCAAGCATTCCTTCAGAAACCAAGATTGGCATGTTATAGAAGCAGGAAAAAATACAAATACAGCCTTTTCACTTAAGCCCATCTCAGTCCCCTCCAGTCATTGCAGCTGTTTTATGTTACACTTCCAGCAGGTTCAGCTGTTCATATTGCAGACCTGACTTGGAGCTAAAATGAAACCAAAAGAAAACATCTTTAAACTATGACTGACAACTTCTAGATGACAGACTTTGAATGTTAAAACTGTGTTTATTGTACAGATTGATTTGACCTTTTTTTTTTTTTAAGTGATGTTTCCCAAAGAGCCTTAGAAATACAGCTGTGTCCTTAAACTCATTGTCTCGTGCTTATTGGAGCATGAAATATATTTAATTTCTCTCCAGCAATCATTAAATTATGCTAATTGCACCGACAAATGTTTTTAATTACACACCACAGGGTTTTAATTGAAATTCAATAAATTAATCCATATATTGAATCATGCCTGGCATTCTATATCCCCAAGTCTTTCAGGAGGACTTCACAGTCACTGAGACGTTGCCTTACTGTATCACAGTTATTCAGTGGTGTTTGCGTTTATTTACAGGTTTTAATTTGGTGAATAAAAGACACATAATTTCAAATGTGATGAAGAATGATGTTTGCTTAATATTTCTTTCCCCCAAAAGCAAGCCATAAAGGGAAAGGTAGGTATGACTGGAGAGAAAAACCCTAAAAAATATGAAAAATCGACATGAATGTGGTTGATTATAAAATATGTCAACCTTTTCTGTAAATATAAATGATGAATTTCTTTTGAGGTGGAAGTATAAGAAACGTTATGGCAACAAAAGGGAAAGAAAGCACACAAGAACCATTAGCACAAATACGATGGTAGAGATGAAGTGTTTATTTGAAGGTAGCCTTGTCAAAATATCTCAAGGTGACACTGAAGAATGTCTCAATTTGTTTTTCTGTTAGTGAAATCTTTTACTCTTGAGTATGCACAGATTGTGCGTAGATGCGAGTGGTTAATTTCCCTCAGGGTTGGTCTGTTGTGTCGACTTTAGACTAGATAATGGGAAACCTTCAGGAGGACAGACTGGATAAACTTCTGAGTGTCTCGTAATCAATAAGTAAAGAGAGATCATAATTGTATGAGATAAGTCAACTATGATCCTTGGATAGACACTATCTTTTTCCATCTGTGGACGTCTGCAGTTAAAGAAAAATAATAAAGGTGTGCAGTAGTTGTACTCGCATACAAGCACACTTTTTAAATATTCTGGGACCTTTTGCTCCCGAAAAACTCTAAAACAATGCACCATTAAGGAAAGAAAAAGGAACATGCCAATATAAGTCTAACTGGCTCTGGGTTTGAAGAGAGGGTTATTGTCTTTTTCTTGCAATTTACGACTCTAATGATGCACTTATGTTGCCCGCTCTTCCCTTTTTCTTACACCTTACCTACTTAAGGAGGAAATCTTGATTGGTAAGTCGATGCTATCCGCAGATTTAGGGATTTACTTGTAGGTCGGTGCAGGCTAATTATTTACTTCTTACAGGAGAAAGAGCACAGTCATCTGTCCTATTCTGAGGGCTTTCTTAGTTAGACTGATGGGATCTCTCTTTGTCTGCAATCCTTTTCATTTCTACATAATACCCATTTTGTGATGTTTGTTCAATGTTCTTTAAATGAGGCTTTTCAATGGGGCTATTGTTTACTCTTTTTCTCTTTACCCGAGTTAGAATCGGTAGATTTTTCCACGCATAGTTTTTCTTTCTTCTCTGCTCTTTTGTTGTTCCTTTCATATAATTGTTTTAGTTTAGACTTACTTTATTTAAATTTGTTTCTTGTTGATTTCTTTGACTTTAGTTGAGTTCAGACTTTCTTTTGAGGTTAATCGCATGCTTCAAATTTGCATGATGTCTTTATCTTTCAAAGTTTTCTGTCCCAAGAAAGAAAATAAATCTCTTCTCTGTGTTTTCAAGGGAATATGTGCCTTTGTACTAGAGTATTCACAGTGCATCAAAGCAGATAGCAGGTTCCATTTATGAACAAACACTTGGTTTTAAGCTGCAGCCTATTTGTCTGTTTGCAGATTTTGTCGTCAAAACCTGGAAGCGAGCTTTTACACGGAAAAGGGTCTCAGCATTTATCGAGCCAGACCGAAGGTCCACACGATTACGATTCTGGGAATGACACATCTTCACCGCCATCAAGCAAAACTGGTGTTTCTCGGGCGAGTGTCACTGACAACAAGAGGAACCACTGTAAACGTCTGGCCTCGCCAGAGAAGCTGAAGTTCACTGACAGAGACAATGTCTCTGATTCAGGAAACTCTGTGACCAGCTATGCTTCCTTGTGCAAACCTTATGGGGAGGACGGCTTGTCTGCAACCCTTTTCAGTAGAAACAGGAAGAGGTAATGTTGTGTACATGATAAATAATCCATCCGAATGAATGCTTACCAGGAAAATTGCAAGCTGTTTATCTTCTGTTCCCACATTCTGTTTCCTCTTTTGAAATATTTATCTTACGAGTGAGAATAAGGGAGAGCATTTCTTAAAAACAACACAGAATACAGTGTTGGATTTATCAGTTCAAGCAGTGAAATGTCTAAATGTGTTGTCTTTACAGAGAGCAGGTAACCTTGGGGTGTCGGGTAGAGGTTGTGAGATCTCCAAAGACCTCCAGATGTACACAGAGGATAAGCAAGGCGTCTCGAAGGCGACTGAAAACTCGGTCATCGAGCAGCAGAAGCAGGAGTAGATCTTTTGGGAGTTCCAGATACTCCGGACGCTACTCTCGAAGCCTGTCGCTGTCGTCTTGCAGGTGTACTACTTTTATGTTTTACATCACTAACAACCACTAATATCAAGTTACACATAAAATGTGGGACAACCTGTTGGGCTATGATTGAAGAAAACACAATGTCCTACTGCTAATTAGCAAATGTTAGCATGCTAACAATCTAAACTAAGAGGTTAAAAGTCTCTTGGTCTTATTCCAATGCACCTTGACATGGCAGTACCTGCTACTGTACATCATGCCATTTATGTGGTGCCACACAATATTACATGCCTGCACTGCAGTAGAAAGCCAAAACGTAAAGAATAAAAATAGAAGAGTGCATGTAATCAATCCTCATTTCCAGTCTAGATGAACACCACAATTAAGTCATTCAGTCATACAAAAATACAAATTGTCACAAAGGAAAAAGTGATGTCAACATGTCATAATGAATCAGAATTAGTGGTGCTAACATGTGATCTTATCATGTATACGTAACACACTTGCAAAAGGAAGTTGTTAGAAATATGCACTGATTCATATTTTATTTTGCTGAAATTTCAGGAATTTGTGCAATATTTTATAACTACTGCTTCTTTGCATGATTGTAGGAGATAATTGTAATTTTTCTTATTGCCAGCTCGTACTCACGCTCACCCAGTTATTCAGCTGATCTGAGGCGGCGAGGCAGTGTATCCAGCCTCAGCTCCAGAGGAAGCTACTCCAGAAACAGTGCTGAAAGGTGAATTTTCTGAAATGGTTCAGCTGCTAAAAAATATATATATTGACATTGTTGGTGATAAAATATTCACATTGTTATGTCTGCTTCCCAGACTACGAGACAGAAAGAGAAAACCTAGCTCCAGAGAGACAGATGTGAAGCATGCACATAAGGTTAGTGGGAAGAGACGAAGACGCAAATCCTACTCTCCTATGAAGAAAAGGAGGAGAGACTCACCAAGCCATCTGGAAGCACGCCGAATCACAAGGTAAAGCTTTCTCAGTCTGGTTATTTATAGCTAAAAATTTACATTTTTATGCCTAAAGGCAACAAAAATGTATTACTGGTCCCACCCTCCACCCCCTCAGTTGGACAAGTTCCCAACCTGAAGTCTTTCCCTCGTGTTGATGAGCTGTGTACCATGAAATGGCATTTAGCCAGAGGATGAGATAACCGTCAGCTCTAAAGCCACCACAGGTGCTAAAGAAGCAGATGGTGAACACAGGCAGTCTGAAATGTAAAAAAAGAACAGAGCAAGTCTGATCTTCACTTTTTTTTAACAGATCTCATCTGCCACACAATTACTGTTACTTTTCTTTCTGTCACACTACTCTTTGACAGCAGTAAATGACTTAACACCAAGACATTTGCATCAAAGAACACAACAGAGATATTGCAAATAACAAATTTTAGGTCGTTATTGCTCCACTAATCTACATTGTTTTAAAATTGCACTATTCCATATTTGTGTATTGATTATGGGTATAATATGAAAGGCAGATATGTTTATCAGGAGTTGGTGGAGACCAAAAAAAGAGCCAAACGTAGAGTAAATATTGGACTTTCTGTATGTTCACCAGGTTGTTCAGAAACAACTCCAAATGATGCCAATGTTGTTGTGTGATGTTGTGTCTGCTGGGTGTCTAATTAAACACTTACACATTAGCTATAACATCTTTGTAATGTGATATGTTTTGATATTTTTAAGTAATTTTGTCACCCAATTGGCCAAAGAACTGTGTTGGCTTTAAACATGCATTAATTGGTGTTTTGGGCCACTAGGGGGCAGTGCAACAAGTTGTAAACACGTTTACAAATGATCACCCAATAATATTGATATTGTGACATGTTAGGAAACAGTTGCCTATTACCAGTATGACATAGAGAAGCATTTTTTTGGAGTCTTGTTTCTTTCCATCATATAAGTTTCCTTATTCCACCTTCTCTCTAACTTTTTCTTCCTGTTTGATGCTGAGCAGGTGATGTACACTGGATTTAATAGAGCTTTTTGGCTGAAAATTAGTGCCTGCAGTGAACAGCAAAATTGCAACTGTAAAATCACAACAATGAGCTAAAAGATGCTAAACTATTCTGTAGAGCTGTAGATCAACCACATTGCAGCTTTAATTCTCCCACTGTTTGTCAGTTTAACACAACTTGCCTCTTTGGCTCTCTACAGTGCCAGGAAGCGACCCATTCCTTACTTCCGTCCCAGTCCTTCCTCCAGCAGTCGGTCCACCAGCGTGTCGTCCTGGAGCAGCCTCTTCACCCGCAGCCGCAGTCGCAGCCGCAGCCCGATCCACAGCATCACCCAGAGCAGGAGCCGTAGCCGGAGCCACAGTTACTCCTCCTACAGGAGCTACAGTCGCAGTTCATCCTGGAACTCAATCTTTGGGACCCGCAGTCGCAGCAGGAGTCGAGGTTCGTTGAACAAACGCAACAAAACCAGGCATTAGGTTTCTCAGAGAACATTAAGGGACAGAGGAGCCAGTCGTGTTTCCAGTTGAGAGCGGGGACAGTGGATGTTGGAGCAATCGACTGTGTACGTCTCCATGCTCTGCTTTGACGCTTGAATGGAAATGTCCCAGCAGGGGTCTCACCACGTCTTTCATTGATGCAGTCTTGTTCACTCTGCCCACAGAGACCACTGGAGACGGAATGTCTTTTTGTTCATTTGTTTTGTTCTTGTACTGCATCCTCTTGCATCAGCACTCACAATGGCCTGAGACTGTTCATCACTTAGGTATTAACAATAGGAACTGCACATAAAACAGAAATACTATTCCTGTGTTTGGTCAACTAACAACACATCATGTTAAATTATTCATTTAAATGAATGCTTTAAAATGGTTTAACAACATAATATTTATTTTAAAATTGATAGTTAAATGGTGTATAATAAGGCCTGACGGTACCAAAAAGAGTTGAAATTACTTAATTACAATATTTTTGTTTTGGCAGATGTACCAGGTAAACACTTTTAAAGTCTCATAGGACATTGGACATTTACTGTCCCATGTCAGGTCTGAATGTTGTAGATTTTGCGCAGACAAGTGAAGTATTGATGTAACATTTGAGCCGTTTGATCTGAGTATTAACAAATGGTTTCAAAGGGATCGTTGTCAGGAATAAGGAAAAGGTTTATTGCTCTGATCTCTGCACTTCACAAGGTGGAGAACAAATGTGTTTCCTCTGAAAAATGAATCGGTGAGGGTGGCCTGATGGCAGCTCAAATGTCAAATTAATTTGTCCTTTGATCAGGTGGAAAACAATTGAAATGTCAGTCTGTGTAATACAACGGAGAGCGATTGAAACATTGTGCAGAAACAGGGAGGGGAATTTCATCTGACAAAATCTTCAGAGTCAGAGGAGGTATTTTCCTTGACAACTAATGGCGAATAAAACAAATCATGAGAAATTTAGAGAAAATGATACTTTAATGGTAAATCTAATGAACTTTTTTAAATCTACTTTAATGCTTAAATTGTCATCTTGGTCTGTCTGTACTTACGTATCAGTCTCTGAATTCTTGTTCAATATTTTTTATTTCAAAAGATGACAGAGAGAAAAGGCTGTACCTCATTTGGTTGCAAAATAGGTCTGAACTTATGAATAGCATTGAGTCTCAGTTTACTTGAATAATGTTTTCTTGCTACAACACTGGAACCAAACAGATACTGTATGTCAACTATGTTTTTTTACTTGAGTTATAGTACAACGTAAGGTCAAGCTTTGAATTGTGCAGCACCATACATATTTATTACTATTTAATATTTATTGGTTTGTTGTCCCTCTCAGTAGTGGTCAATATTTCTATGCAACACTGTCAATTTAAAATTATTATGACACTGCTGTAATTTATTTTTGGTTTGTTGTAAATTATTCTTGGGTTTTGCCACTGTACTCACACATAAACCTCAAAGTAGAAGCAAATGTTCAAAAGACAAAAGAACAAAAACTGGGATGGCAGAAAAGATGCTTCCTGTCCAATCTCATGTTTTGGGTGCTTTTTTCAAAAGCAAAATTTCAACATTTTGGGAAATACGCTACTCCCTTACCAAGAATCAGATAAAGAAGACTAAGACCACTCATCTCTGTCTGTTAAATATCAAGCTACAGCCAGCAGCTGGCTAACAAGCTTAACATAAAGACGGGAAATGGTGAAACAGCTGGTCTGCTTCCATCAAAAGGTTAACAAAACACTTTAAACCAATGTCATTAAACTGGCCTCCCTGTCTCTGAGGCTGTATTTGGTCCCAATCCAGCCGTGTTCACTGGGAGGCTGCTGAGCCCCGTTTCATTGCACGCTAACGGCAGCTACAGCAGCCATTAGCTACTGAAAAGCAGAAAAGGTGGATGTCATTATATTATTGGTTAAAATTAGTTGATCCACACATTTTGTTTTACAGGAAGAAAAAAAAGTTATATTTTTGATATAGCATTACGAAGAATTTTTTTTGTATTTTCTTTTGGCATAAATTGTTAAATAGGTCTACAATAAGACTCGGAATCTAATCTGAAAGGGTCAAAAAGGCATTTTTATTTAATTTCCATTCAGAGATCCTGGCAGATGTTTTTTCAAGCTTTGGACAGGACTCTGTTTCCCCTTGTTTCCATCTTTATGCTAAGCTAAGCTAATCGGCGGCTTATTATAGCCCCATGTTCATCATCAATCTCCATATTTGACTAGTCCATGAAAGTGCTGCTTTGACTCTGGAGTTTGAATCTGCAAAAAAGTTTGAAACTGCCTTTCCATATAATTAAGAGAGTTATATTTCTCAATCATTTCAAATCCATCACCCTGTCTGTGTAACTGCTCCAGGCCTGACAGACTGCTCTCTATGCACTCAATACTCTCAGCTTATTTCCCTGAATGTCAACTAAATTGGACGAATGAGGGAAATATGACGCTGGAGGAGGAAGGAACTTGGCACAAAAGTCATTCATAAACTCAAAACTGATGATGACTCGTGTCAACCAGTGTTGACTCTGTGCCAGGGGAAGATTTGTGAGGTAATGTTGATAAACTTTCTCGATGGGCACCCAGGCCAACAGCCCTTTCCCCATTTCACAATGTAAAGTTTACATCAATTCTTGTGCAAAATATTTTTTGAATATGTAATTACTGTGGTGTAAATATATATCTGCATTGTATAAATTATAAAAAACCTGTGATTATTTGATTTACAGAATGTGATTTGGGCCTTGTTGGATGTTAAAATGTAGGAATGGATATGATGCATTGACCAGTGACAGAGGAAAAGAAGACAATATGCCAGTTACGCATCAATCAATTTGATCAATGGAATCTAAATGTCTTTGTGCTAAAGATCTGATCATGTCTTTTGTTATTTCAAAAATTCCCAATAACAAAGTCATATAGCAATAGTGTTCCATGTTTCAGTGTTAAATTATGCATACTCTCCCTGTTTTCCATGTGAAGGAGCATATTGCAAAAGGATATGTTTTTCATACTGTCACATTTTATCTTGTGTCAGTGTGAACTCCGCATTGTAATAATACAGTATGTCACCTGGAAATTGAATTGTCCCCATCATAACCCCATGAAATCAACTTTCCCTTTCACTGCGTGTTTAGAATAAGCTATATAAAATCATGTTCTGAATAAAATCGCCACTGCAGTCTTGTTTTATGTCCTGAAAACAGATGACCGAGTTCACCGCAGTAAACAGTGGGCATCTTTACAAAGCTGGCTTCTTAGCTGTTTTGTTTTATCCGTACTGTGACATCAGCGTGTTAGACCTGAAGCTGTGCGTTATTTTCTATTAAAAAGCCAGTGAGTCACCTAGAGGAGTGCGCTCCAACTCTTTATGAGTGACATGTGGACAGCAACTTAATTTGGTAAAAAGGAGGCTGGTCTTTGGTCAGCTGTTGGGCCTGCACTGCAAAAAATATCAACATCAGCAAGTCATTTAATCTTACTTTAACTCCTAAACAGTTTTTTCACCCTTCTAAACAGAGGATGCAGTTGATTTGGACCAGAGACAGCTGTTATTTGATCCAAATGTGTGTACTTTAAGCACTTGGAGATACTTTAGTACTTGTTGGATGAATATTTTTTGCAGTGCGCGTTCTCTCCAGATCCTCCCAGCACTTTCCCGGCACTTGCTCTCTGCAGACTCACCGTCTGGGAAATCGCTGTCCAGTATAAAACCCGCCGCCAGGAGGAATTCACTTTAGGTTTTAGGGAAGGCAGCGTGCACTTAAACGGATTGCTGTTGGATCAACTGGTGACTGATTGCGTAACGGCGATGCGCGTAATCCAAAAGAGATAAAGTTTTACCTCACACAGACATAAGAAGTGTTTTTTTTTTCTTTTTTTTTTCAAAACAGATAGTTTTGGCTCGGGTTTGTTTGGCACAAATATCAGAACTTTAACTGGTTTTGAACTCAGCGGGACATGGCAGAGGGAGACTTCTACACTATGGGAAACCGGCAGAGGTTTCCCAGGGACCCGTTTGGAGAATCGCCGTTCAGAGATCAGTCTCCGTTCAGGGATCAGCTCGCATCTCGGTTTATTGACGATGACTTTGGCATGCCTCCTTTCCCCGATGATCTGGCAATGGACTGGCCGGGTTGGGCTCGGCCGGGCCGGCTCAGCACGCGCCTCAGTACCTCGCCCTTCAGCAGTGGTTTACGCACAGGTTTCCCCTCACGTCAGTCCACGGGAGGCCCAACGCTGTACACCAGCAGGTACGGCGAGCCTTCCTCCCGGAGCTCACCCATCACCACCGGGGGAGAGCCCTGGAAAGTTTGTGTGAACGTCCACAGCTTCAAACCAGAGGAATTAAACGTCAAAACGAGAGACGGATTTGTAGAAGTGTCAGGTGAGTTGGGATGCAGAGGTCTAAATTAAATGTAACTACTTTTTATAGGAGAACACATAACTTTATCATCAAGTTCATGGGGGATAAGGGCCCCTAAGGGAAGATTAACTTATGATCAATGACTGGAGGGCAGTGTTAACCCACCTGTAATGTCCCCACTGTGAAAACCATCAGTTCAGCTCAAAATACATAATTAGAATTAAAGTAATTGGTCAAATTTAAAGTGTATTCCTATTAATACATTACACATAATATGAATAAAATAAATAGGGCAAATAGGACTATCTCCTTGTGAAAAACACTAATTTGCAGGGTTGTAGCTGACATTGAGAACATTGAGGTCATGCCCTCAGTATTGCTTATGGAAATGTGAGGGTTTACATTCTGTAATTACATAGCAATTACACATTAATAGTGGCCTCTGCTATTTTTAGGACTCAATATCAATAAATGTGACTTTTTAGACAAAAAATGTATCTCTAGCTGTGTGGATAAGAACTTTAAACAGCGTTGGGACCTACATTTAGGCAGATTCAAAAACTAAAAAAGAATATATTATTGAACATTTAGTATTTTTTAACAAAATGATTAAATAAAATGTACATTTGAAAGCTTATTTGGTGGTCTTTCAAACTTTTTCTTTGCAGGGTGGACATTCAAAACACATTTACATTTTTTTTATTTTATTTAAGTGACCAAAAAGCAGCAGTCAAGCCAATTCAAAAGCCAGAGTAATGCAGATCTTAATGAAACAAAGCATAAACAACTCCTCTCTGACTATCTATCCTCACTCTTACTTGCCCAGGAAATATCAACTTTTTCACTTTGGCAGCAGATTTAAAGCAGCACAATGAAAGCCTCGGTGGTATAACGTGGTCTCAGCATTAATGAGTCTTGATATGGAAGAGCTCGACAGATTTTGGGGACTGGGACTTGTACGTTGGCAGGCAGATCCTCAAGCTTAGACACCTGTTTCAGATTCCTGGAGAATCACTCCCTCAGTCACCCATGAGCTCGATTTAGATTTAAAGCAAGGCAAGGCCCGTGACAACAGTCTCTGTTTACAATAAGACAAGCCGTTCGCTGCCATTAAACACCAGAGAGAATGTTCTGGAAATAGGTTCACACTTTTACCCAGCGGTCCTCATGCTGGTTTTGTCACTGCTGGTGTCACGTTTTAGCTCTGTTGTTGATAATGATAGTAAGTTGAAGAAATTGCTTCCTCATGTCAGTCCTTCAGAAGACAGATGAATTCCAGGGATTCCCCCCGCCAAAGGGGGCAAGGAAGACAGCAGGCCCCCCAACTCTTTTTATAAAAAAGTTATTTATAAATACATTGTTGGTATGCCAGTTGGGTTATTCAATCAGCGCCATGTTGGGCCTGCCTGCCGCAGTGACTCAACCCCGTTCTAAAAGTGTGACAGGGAGTGTGATACAAGCATGCTTGACGTGTTCAGTACATGAATGCACAAATGTTTAACATCCTTCAGATGAACCGAGTGGACTCATCCTGATCTTCACTGACTGAATAAGTTCCTTAGTGGTGCCATAAGCATGTTTCTTCTGGTAAAATTCACTGAAAGTACGATTCAAATGTTACTAAAGCTTACTGAATGTTGGTACAACAAAAGTGGATTAAAATCTTATTGAATGATTGTAACAAAACATAAACAATCAAAATGCATCATTGCTGCACTATTAGTGTTATAAACACTTTTATAGGCCTAGTTTTGTACTGGACTAAGTTTCATTTGAAACCAACAACCAACTTAGCCTACATACGATCCAAGACGGAAATGTTCTAAGCACTTAACTTAAAACAGTATAAATTAATATTTTATGCTATGTAGTATTACTGGAACAAGTTGAAATCTATGTCACTTATCTACTTAATTTACAGAGACGGTTCAGATAAAAATTGTTACATAAGAAGAAGTAAAACAACAGATGTAGTGTATATAGGGCATCTAGCTGAAGCTAATTTGCAGTTCCTGTTGCTGTAACGGCGACATATGATCACGAAACACAGAAAAATATTACCAGTACACATATACTGTAAAATGTCAATTAATAGCCAAGGCTTTTATTTGCTTTAATCACTGAACTCTGCCTATATTTGGAACAAGTGTCTATGGGAAAGGCATTTAATTCCCTTTGCACAAAACTCTTACTCAGCAAAGATAGGAAATACTATCAAACTTTTTACTTAAACCAGTATGAATATTACTTTTACTTATTTAGGCTATAATAACATATCGGGAAAAAAATCAATTATAAATCATTCATTTGATCATTTGGTGCTTATGGTTTCCATAAAGTGAATGGAACAATTGAATTGTGGGTAATCTAACTGATCTAACGATATGTATGTCCATATTGACAAAAGTTCAAAGATTTATATTTGTGTGTTTAATCTAAGCAGCACAGAACCTGCTCAAGCAGGCGACCCGGTGGGCCTTAAGATGTTTTATACATTCAAAGAATTTCTATAAAATCCAGACTAGGCTTCTAATTGAGACCTGCGTTTGTTTGTTCCAACATGTAGCAACACCAGGCTAGTAACGTGGACCTGCGTCTAACTGGGACCCTGCTTTTAATTGAAGTTTTATGGTATCTGGACACCCAGCAAATGTAATATTCACTCTTTAGCTCTGTTTTTGGTCTCCACCAACTTCTGAGAGAAATATCTGGCTCTTCATCTGTGAAATGCTCCACTATGTTTACCAGCTAGCCACTAGCTTTGTCTGTCTGCCGTTTGTATGCAAGGCAGGGTACTCTCCCCTCCTCTAATCACGGATCACTGCATAGACAGAAGGAAACACAGCATCTGCCTTCCCCCATGTCAGAGTAACAAAACTAGCAAATCTGTTTTCAAATGTGAAAACTACAGCCATGACCTTGATACCCGTACAGGCAGAAAACCTCTTTAGTACATTTTCCATTGCAATAGGATCTCCTCCCAGAACATACAGTATTACACAGAGCATCTGGAATTTGAAAAAAACAAAACAAGGAGAGGCAACGTCATGTTGGACTACTCTCTAACCAAACCTTCATCATTCATGAAGTATCTCAGGGAAACAGTCAAGGGAACAGTTTTAAGTCTAAAGTCACGACAGTGTTTAAATAATAATCTAATGACTTCACTGGTGCTCAGTCTCTGGTCTGAAGTCAGAGACGTCACTGAGGGGGTATAGGGTAGCGCATAGTGGAGCCTGGAGTGCAGACGGGGGTTGAAGGGTGGGGCAGGACACACTGCTGGCGGTGGCAGTGATATCTAGCAGCCCCAGAGCAGCTGCTAGCAAACCCAAGAGATAGAACGGCCATAAACAGAGCTTGGAGGAGAAGGTGGAGGGGGTGGGGGGGACTTTCCAGCCTGTTGTCCTCGACTTCTACATGTCTGAGTGTCTTTCGTCAGAAGAATCATTCTTGGAAGATAGGAAAGAGAATGAAAAGGACATTTCATCATTTTAACATGTTCATTGCAACCCACCCAGAGGTCCCAAAGCAAAAACACTGCTGGGATTGAGCAATGGAAAACTGTGTGAGCCAAATAAAATATGTTCAATCTCAGTGTTGTCAACACCTTTTTGATTTACATCCATACTGAAGCTCACAGATACATTTAGGGGGTCATGATATATGATGAATGTCATACTGAACCCTTGATAAGGACACTCATTTATGATCTAGGACATTGCTAAACTATTGCACAATGTTGAAATTAAGTACTCACATATTTGCTGATGTTTTGTTTGTTTTTTCAAACAGGAAAACATGAAGAGAAGCAAGAAGAAGGAGGCATAGTGACAAAGAATTTCACAAAGAAGATACAGTAAGTATGATTTCAGTGAACTCTCCGCCTTCATCAGAAAACATTTCCAGCTGTTTTTTCTTAAAAGTAATAAACTTCCATTGTTTGCATCCATGTTTACTTGCTCCTGCATTTCTTGGTGTGTCACTGCCACATGTTGATAGTGTGTAACCACTGGATGGAATGTGTGTTGCTGGAAATGTGAATGCAGGAGACAAACAAAATGGGACCCACACATAAAACATTGTTCCATAGCGCTACTGGTGTTCAGAAACATCGTACCATTAAGCCAAATAATATATATGAATATTTCCAGTCTCAGGGTTGGGGATCCACACAAGGGGTCATGAAATAGTTTAAGGGATGCTATTAGTATACTGGAGTTGGAATTAATAAAAAATCTGACTTTTCCCTAATCTAAGAAAATATATTAAAAAGAAAGAGTAAGGGGAAAATCACTTTTCAGTTCAGCTACTCACAAACCAAACACACGCAACAAGGGAAACAAGTAGACGTGCATTCTTATTAAGGGTTCAAACAGAAAAAATACTGGCCAGAGAGCCAAAGTACTGATGTTTTTTCTTGATTTTAAAACCTTATTTTCTGCTATTTGTACAAGACAGAAATTGCTACTGATCAGGAAGAAGGCAGGACTTTGACTTTTTATGCTAAACAATAGAATAATAATGGGAGGGCACATGCAGATAGACAGAGAAACGTTTCCGTATTTAACAACATGACAACATCCTGCATGTGTTTTTACTCTTTGTTTATCTCTGAAAAAAAAAAAAATTCAACATTATGTCAGTCCACACCTCTCACTTTAAAAAGTTTTGAACAGCTGCTCCAGAATCATATCAGCTTTGATTGGACAAACTACTCTCAAAACTTCAGATCAACCCTTACTAACAGTAGAATACTGAAACTGACACTACACAGTGTTTAACGCAGGGCTGCACAGATGTCTTGCATATTGTAGACTTATCATATTGTAACTCATCCAAGCCAAACAGGCCACAGAAGTTTCCACAACCTGCCCGGCTCTCCGGCTCTGCTCGTTTAATTGGGCAGTGGGAAGACTTCAAATGGCAGCACTAATCGCTGGTGCGAATCGCCGTCTAGCTGGCACGTCACTCCAGTTCTGCTAATTTCCTGTTGGCTAATTAGTAAGCAGTTGTGCTAGCCCTGCAATGTTCATATCACAGCCCTTTTAATTGGAAAGCCCCCAGATCAGGCCTATGCTCCACAGCTGAGCAAAACCTAAAACCAATGACACACTGAATATATAGAGAGGGCGGTTAGGGTGGTGGAGAGAAGGGGGAGAGGGGGTCATATATAAATAACTGACCTCCTTACCCAAATCCTCTGGTTATATGAAAGCAAAAGAAGTCACGTGACTAGCTTGTATGGCTGAGAATGTACTTTTAATTGAAACACTGCTACTTTTTCATTCTGTTTCTTATGGTAATAATAGTAATAAACCCTTCTTGCAGAGGGGAGCTACAGGGAGCTTGGCTCCCCTGAAAGAGACATGAACTCCCCAGAAAACCTCATTTAAGAAATTTAAGGGGCTCTAAAGTATTGTTATTTTTGGTGCAAGTGTTTTTTTTTTCTGTATAATTTTGTTGCACGGACATAGGAATTTCAGATCATTTGTGTCTAATAAACATAATGCTGTCTATTGCTGCTGTTATTTTTGGTGCCAGTGTTTTTTTTTTCTGTATAATTTTGTTGCACGGACATAGGAATTTCAGATGATTTGTGTCTAATAAACATAATGCTGTCTATTGCTGCTGTGGCCATCCATGTGGTGTGCCATGGGGGCATCATAATTGTCATGGGATGGTAAATTGACTTTTTAGTCTTCTGACCACTCAAAGCGCTTTACACTGATGTCAGAGGCTGCCATGCTGCTAACCCTAGCAACTGCTCATCAGAAACTAATTAATCTCACACAGCACTGGAAGCAAACCTTCTGATTGGTAGACGACCAGTTCTACCTCATGATCCACAGCATCCCCCTTACGTCCAGTCTGTAACAGACTGGACGTAAGGGGGATGCTAAGTTAAGTAAGTTAAGTAACACAATCCATTGGCTGTCCAATATCTGTTGCATTTGCATTTTTATTGTTATTCAGCAGAGCACAATTACAGTGGTGGAGGAAACACTCAGATCCTTCACTTATGTAAGAGTAGCAATACCACACTGTAGAAAATACTCATTACTACTACTACTACATTTCAAATAAACCATTATTTGTTTCCAACTTGACAGGATTCGCAGCATTGTTTTTTATATTCAATTCAGTTAAACTCAATTTTATTTGTATAGCGCCAATTCATAACAGAAGTTTCCTCTGGACACTTTTCAAATAGAGCAGGTTTAGACCGAACTCCTTATAACATTATTTACAGAGACCTAACAGAACCACCATGAGCAAGCACTTGGCGACGGGGGCAAGGAAAAACTGCCTTTTAAGAGGCAGAAACCTAGGACCGACCCTTCGGCTCTATGTGGGTGGTCGTGTGCCTCGACCAGTTGATCCAGTTGATCTTTATCTGATGTGATAGGGGAAAAAAAAAAAAATATATATATATATATATATATAGTGATAGTAAACCCAAAATATTATTTGAAATACTTGGCATGTTGATCGATTTTGAAAATAATCATTAGTTGTAGCGCTGAAGTGAAGGTATGAAAGTATTATCACCAAAATTCCAACAGTTAATTACAGAAGATAGATAGATAGATAGACTACAATAAACGTGCAAAACAGTAAACAGTGCAAATGTAAGTAAAACAGTGCAAATGGATGTGCAAAATACAGATAGAAATTGTCCATTGTCTATTATCTATTGTCCTCCCTGCCTTTACTGAGAGCTGTTGTACAGTCTGATGGCCAGGGGGACGAAAGAGTTTTTGAGTCTGTTGGTGGAGCTGGACTGGGACAGCATTCTGCCACTGAACACACTCCTCTGCCTGGTGAAGGTGTCGTGCAGAGGGTGGTGGGTGTTGTCCCGTATGGACACCAGTTTGTTCAGGGTCCTTCTCTCTGCCACTGTCACCAGAGTCCAGCTCTGTGCCCACTACTGAGCCAGCTCTCCTCACCAGTCTGTCCAGTCGACCGGCGTCTCTCCTCTTGCTGCTTCCTCCCCAGCAAACCACAGCATAAAAGAGCATGCTGGCCACCACAGACTGGTAAAACATCTGCAGTAGTTTTTTGCAGATGTTGAAGGACCCCAGCCTTCTCAGGAAGTACAGACAGCTCTGCCCTTTCCTGTGTAAAGCGTCCATATTTGCTGTCCAGTCCAGCTTGTCGTCCAGCTGCAGCCCCAGATATTTATAGAAATCATTGATGGAACACACTGATGTCCAGTAAACAAGTGCAATGGGGTCCAAGGGTGGATTTTGTGTTAAACTCTCAAACAAGTGGGAAATATGTCAGTTATTAACCAAATATGTTGTTGTTAAATCAGTTCTGAGGGCAAAGGTAGCTTGAAAACTCCAGGTCATGTAGCCCATCAGTAATCCCCCAGTCCATCAGTGTGAGTGGTTTGTTATTTAGGAATCTTTTGTTCTGCCTGTGTCTACACTCATAAGAAACATTATACTAGTGGACTGACTCACGTGCACTGTGTCTGGGTGTGTGGGAGGGAGCATATGTATTATATGTTTTACACACTACACACACTCAATGCACACACACTCACCTTGTCCAGCCTCACTGCCTTGTCTCTCTCTGCCTCAGTATCTCTGTGGGGGGAAAGCATATTGGACAGGTTTTTGGCAGCTGTACAAAATCAATGTGTGAGATAAAACGCATGCTTGCCAGAGGTAAATAAACTCCCCAAGCTAGACAGATAAGATTTCTGCCAGAGTCCCACGTAATGGGTCGGCTGAGTGATTTGACTTTGTCATAAGGGGCAACTTTGCATCGCAGCAATTGGCTTCTTGAAGGAATGTGGGGGGCATAGATTCTGACACATGTGTAGGCTTGTGTGTGCATGGGGGTGCGTGGTTAGAGCTGGGAATTGATAAAAAAAATATTCAAGATTAATACTGGCTTACACAAACTTCAAATTCTAGCTTTAAATTAATTTCTCCTAAATATATTGACAGAGTATATAGTGCACTGTTCAGTAGATTGAATTATTATTATCATGCTATTCATGGCTCTGTGGATGGCAAAGTCAGTCAGCCAGTCCACGACTTTGGTCCAGACTGAAATATCTCAACAACCAATGAATAGATCGACATTCATGGTCCCCAGAGGGTGAATCCTAATAATTTTGGTGATCCCCTGACTTTTCCTCTATAGTACCACCATCATATTATTATTATTATTATTATTATTATTATTATTATTATTATTATTATTATTATTATTATACTATATACTTTAATTTACAACCAAATACAATGAATGATATCACCATCAGCCTCAGCTTTACTTTTGATTTGATGGTATTTTCGAGGAATTTGACTGTTGATGAAAGTATTCTATATGAGATCTATATTAGTGTGTGCCTTCAAACCTCTGAGCTTCCTCCATCTTTTAAGCTACCCTTCCCCGCTCCCAGCTGCCCCTTCCACTTACCCCCCACCCAACCACACTTACCTGACTGCCCTCAGCCTTGGAACGATGTGAAGACATTTCCAGTGACCTACTTCCTGCATCTTATCTCTTTGGACACAAAGCGTTGGTCTTGTTATATCTAAATTGGATTTACTATAATCCTACTGTTGGAGTCTCTCTCTATTTTTTCCCTTTATTTTTTGTAATTGACTTTTTCCCACCAATGGGTCCCATATTGCATCCCTAGCCATTTATGAAAGGGGGATGTCTATATGATTTTTCTGTCACAACTTTAATACAATTGTTCCTTCTTTCTGGGGACTGTTTTCTCATCTTCTTTGTGAACCTGGGCTGGGTCTGGAGGCTATTGCTGAAGTGGACCTGAGTCTCACTGTATGTGATATTTGGCTACACAAATAGACCTGACTTGACCTCCCTGTCTGTCTGTCTGCTTCTGTTGGGTGAAGTTTTCCGTTCCATTTGTATTTCTCAGTGGAGTGGGAAACCAGTAGAGGGTCCTCTCTAATTAAATGGAGGGTAAATCCACAGTCTCCTCCTCTGAACAGGGCAGCCTGATGTTTATATTAACTCCCAAAGACACTTGGCTGCTCTCACAGAAAACCTACAATACCCATATTTGGCCACAATGTCTGACAAAGAACAGAGTTTGCCTGGGTCGCTGTCTGTTTGCGTCTGCAGCAGGTTTTGGATGACTTTCATTCCAAAGGGAACTGTATTATTTGAAAATAAACTGAAATTAACGTAATAACTAAATAACAATCAGTTTGATAATTTAAGATAATTCAATAGATTTGTTCCTACTGTTGAAGTGCACATACAGCTTTCTGGAAGTAAACCCTTTACATGCTGCAGTTCTGGCTGATTTTTCCATCAGTGCTTTGTATCTTGCTACAAGTGTTGGGAGCCAATTATCCCACTCTGCTCTGGAAAACATAACATTTTCAACATGAGAAGTGTCAAATAATGAAGCGAAGAGGTAAAAAAAAGCCTGACACAATTAGCTGTTGCCTATGACAGATGTGAGCAGCAGGTTAGGAAAGTATACACCAATGGAAATGTACAGGTGTACAGACACTCTCATTAATTGGAATCCGGTTTCATTTTTGCACCTGGATCCAACGTGTGTTCTTTCTCCTTTCCTCTTTGTCACAGAGCTGCAGGATTTTTAATGAAAACTCCTGATGGCTCTCAGTTAATCTCTATAGTAGTGAGATTTTTGTGAGTCTATCCACAGAAGACAGGTTGAACTATTTTAATAAGTCAATATCCAATGAGCCAAGTCATTTTTTAGACGTACAACATTAAAATCACCCGCCGACAGGCTGTTTATGGGCATTGACAAAGTGTCAATAAAATATCCCAGCATTTAACAGGGTTTTACAGCAGCTGTTATGGAGGAAAATGTCACTGAGTTTTGCATGACCTCCAAATGGGGAGTGAACTGTTTCTCTAGGCTTTTTCTCCTCGCCGCTCTCCTTATTTTGTTCCTTCCACTCGTGCCTTTAAACATGCCGAACACACACAGCAGCTTACAGATTTTCCACCAAGTAAACTTCTGCTACTCTTAACATCTAAACTTCTCTCCTTGCATATAAAAAGCATTCAGACCGTAATCTCTTTCCCACTTCTGTTTTTTTTTTCAGGATCCCGATAGATGTGGACCCTCTGACTGTTTTCGCCTCCTTGTCCCCCGAGGGCGTCCTCATTATTGAAGCTCGGCAGACGCCTCCGTATTACCTCTTCAGCAACGACGGCTCCCAGAGTGGTGAAACACTGGAGGTGGAGGCCCCCAAGCCCCAAGAGGCCTCTATGGTCTAACATAACAAATCATCCTGCACAGTTGATTACAAGTTTGATAGCAAATGTGTGGCCTTCAGCTTCATGTTGTTAACATATGGAATTAAAATGTGGAAAAGGAAAATAGGTATGTCCTGTTTGATGAAGCTGCACAACTTACAACTGTTAAGTACACACGCAGAATTCTGAAGAGTCATGCTATTACATTTGAGTCACACAGTTAAGCATCCAATTTTATGAAAAATAAATACCTGGCGATATTTTTTGTTGTTTACCAACTCTTACTGCTGTTCTGAAGGCATTTCCAGTATCCTTGAAGACTGTTAATGACATTTGGATGACAAACTATTCTGTCTGCTGCATGATAAAAAATACACCTTAAGCTGTTTCCATTGTTGCAACTCTGACTTCCTAATTCCTAATTTATGAATGATTGTAGCCGGAAATCACACATTGTCTTACTCGATTTGTACAATTTGAAACAAACTTATAAAAAGATAAAAAATATATCTTCTTGGTGCAGAAGTTGGCCATTTTTTTCTTCCACATGATATGAAGAATCTTTGAAGAATTTAGAAATATCTTCAGAACAGCAGTAAAGTGTTTTTTAAACGACCTTCTGGATTTTTAAAAGATTGTTGATTCGATTGTAATGGTAAGGTTAGATTTTTGGGTACCGAAGATCATAAAAGTTCAAAGAGCTACAGTTTATGGAGCCGTCGTTGTGTTAACTTGTCTTGGGTAGCCTTAATCTAATATATGGATGCATCTTTAGATTATGTAAGAGCTGTTTGGCCACTGCATTATAAGTCATAGCATTCTCAATAACCAGTAATACAATAATATATATATATATTATGTGAACTTCTCAAGATCAAATTTATATTTGTATTTATATTAACATGCAGTTCATTTAGTGGAACAGTTTTTGCATCAAACATATTGTATGTGATTTATTTGGTTTTTAAAAGGATGACAAAAGTGCCTTTATTTACTTGAATGCCTTGACTTCCTTCAGTTACACAGTTGTTTCTCTTTTGAGTTAATGAATGTCACTTAAACTGACAAGAAACAAAAGTAAGTTACCTTTTATGGCTTTGTTAGAGGGTGAATTGTGTGCATTAATACTGTATTCTACCAAAGTGTATTGTAAATATACTTTAATATGTGCCAATTCATTATAAATATTAATCTGAAGTGTTCCAGGTTTTGCAATATGGTTTGCATTTTTCTTTTCTATTTGAGTATTCAGGAAGATGGCTGCATGATTGTTGGGGTGAACTGACTGACTTGTGTGCCAAAAATGTTTGTTTCCTGCTTTCTTTTCTGTTGATGTCTTTGTATTGGCTGATGTAATAAAAATGTCCAGCCAATCTCCTAGTGTGTCTTAACATCTGTGTCTTTTATTGAGAACCGTGCCACTCTCAGGCCTGGTTCCAGGGTTCCAGGGAGCCTGTGGTGTTATTGTTAGATAACAGAAGGAACTGGGCAGCAGATTAGCAGAGGGCTTAGTGCTGGGTGAGATTGGCACTGCTGTGTGCTGCAGGATGGGCTGAACTCATGGAGGCAGTGCTGCCAGAGCTTTTGTGTGCAAGTGCAAAATTGGGGCAGTTCCATTGCATGTTGTGTGATGCAAAATAACGTAATCTTCTCTGTGTATTGGAATCAAGAGGGATGATCAGAATTTAAAAAGTTTCCAAACTGGAGCCACACTGTGGAAACAACAAAAGGCCTCCACGGTTTCGGCTGTGCAAAGGCGCCGCTTTGTATGATGTGCCAGCTGACATAAACTGTTGTATTTATTGGTATTAGACGATATGTGTGGACTTGTGCTGCCATGGCAACAGTATAATTGGAATCACGCCAGTTTCTCCTTGGGCTAGTTACTCATGTAGAAGTGACTAATGCACAGCTGTGCAAACGTATAGTATCTGATTGATGTCAAAACCTCTTAGCTGAAACGGCATGGTAATTAATCTCTTTTTTAATTTTGCACTCACGTGCTGTATTTTCAGAGGTAACTATGAGTATGATGCTCATGAATATGATCACTTATTCATGAACAGTTGCAAATTCACACACAGATCATCGTCGACAATTCGTCCTAAGATTGAGAGGAAGTCAAAGCATGTAGAAATAATAACACACAATATTTAACGTTTTCACATGCTATTGCTTTATTGGAGCTCCAAAGACAGCAGGGTTATATGGCTATTGTATCTACTGACTTAAATCATCTATAAAACTGGTGCAAGGCAAGCTATGAAGGTTGTTTGAGTATTTGGTCAATATGTAGTGTGTGCAACATTTAGGCAACATTTGTGTTTCTACTCAGTGTGTTCTTGTTTTATGTCGGGATCCTCCAGCTCCTGGCTTGGGACCTCACTCGGTGGACTCTTGCCCAGCTCCGGCTCCTCGGGTTGGGTGATCGCCTCAGCAGCCTCCCCTGAGCCTGCCATTACCTGGATCTCTCCATCCACGGCTGGTTCTTTGTGTTCCGGCTGTTTGGACACGTCTGTGTCTGAGCTTTCTTGGCTTTCCAGGGTTTCTTGGTGCTTAGAAGAATCTTGAAGACTCTCTGTGCCTTCGCCATCTGCAAGCACTGAAGGGTGGGACTCTCCAGCTGGCTTTTCATGAGTCTCCTCCTCCTGTTCCCTCCTCTCTTCATGCTGTTGTAGCCCAGCTGTGGCGCTGCCAGGGTGGGCCTGATCATCATGGACTTCTAGTGGAGACCCTTCCCCTTTATCCTCTGCAGACGGGAAGTCTGGGTCCTCAGTTGCTCTACTGCTATCTGGCTCTGTATCAAGTGCTTCTTCTTTCTCCTCTTTCTCTCCAGCCACCTCCATCTCCACCTGCATTTGTGCATATGTCGAAGATGTGAGCAGTGAAATGAAATGAATGGTTATGATTAAAGGTTGACTAGCTCCACTTTCATACTCCACCTCAATACTGAATTTGTATGCCGGTCCTTTCATAAGTGGAAACTCAAAAGAGATATCGAGTTGGATGCAATCAGCAGATATTGTTCAGAACTTTAGGAACTCTAAAGGAATGGTTTGACATTTGGCAAATGGGCTTTTTTGGTGAGTGTTTGATAAGATAGATAACACTCTCATGTCTGTCTGGAAATGCTGTGTAAGGCTAAAACCAGCAGCTGGTTATCTAAGCTTAGCATAAAGACTGGAAACAAGGGGAAACAGCTAGACTGGCTCTGTCCAAAGATAACAAAAATCACCTCTAAAGCGCACTAATCAACACGTTATATCTTGTATGTTTTATCAAAATGTATGGATTAATGAGATATAGTGTGTTAATATGTGAGCTTTAGAGGTACTGGGAACCAGGATAGCTATTTCCCCTTGTTTCCAGTCTTTATGCTAAGCTAAGTTTACCAGCTCCTGGCTGTAGACTTAACATTTACCAGACACGTATGTAAGTGATATCAATCTTATCTAACTGCAAGAAAGCAAATAAGCATATCTGCCAAAATGTCAAACTATTCATTTAAATGTAAACAAGCTTCCCAGATGTGATCACCTTTATGGGAATGATTATGGCAGCAGGAACAGAGGTTTCTGGAACCGGAGCTTCGACAGTCAGGATACCATCAACAGAAAGTGTGGATTCAATTTTGGTGGCATCAATCTCAGCTGGGAGCCTGAAAACGACAGGATGGTGTTTACAATGTCTCCACATATAAAGTGTCAGTGTTTTCTAATACTGAAACTGATAATACATAATATCTAACTTTTCAGCTCAGTGAGCATTTAAGAGATTGGATACTGTGAAAAACAGACCATCAGTGTTGCACTCTTGGCTGCTGAGAGATGTTTAGAATAGCTTAAACTGTAATATTAGTGTTTACTTTGCATACCTGTATTTCCTTGTAAAACATCTGGCAATAAATCCATGCTCGTCTGGCCTCTCCTCGTGTTTCCCTGGGGATGGATTACCGTTTATGGGGAGGAATGTGAGGACACACAGAGGAATCAAGCAACGCAGAGAAACCACTCAACACAGAAATTAATTTCTGTCACAGAGCTGTGATTTTCCCCGAGCACATTATTTAAGCTGCTTTCTAATTTTGTTACATTCAGTTTCCTTTCGGTCCTTGTTTTATTTTAGGGGGTTTATTCTGTGAACTGTGAGAGAAGTCTATTTAGATAACTCTTTGAGATAATAATATTAGATAGAAAAGATTATTAATACTTAGGAGTAGAAACTATCCTGTGTGTAAAAAGTAATTAGCAATCTCACTAAAGTGAACTTTTAGAGATGTTTAATTAACAGAACTGTAAACCAGTGTGCTGTACCTCCGACCTCCAGGAATCCGTCTCTGACATGGAGAGAAATCTCTGAGGGGGAGAAGTGAGCCACGTCCAGGCTGACTCTCCACTTGTAGTGCTCCCTACTAATCTTCTGGCCAGGTTGATGCATCGACCCAGAGATGTAGGGCACAAACAGCGGAGCGGGTATGTACCCTGGCCAGGAGCAGGCTGCCAAACTCCTCTGGAGCCGGTCCACATCCATCCACCGAGGGTCCCACGTCTCCAGGAAAGGAGGCAGGCCAACATCCTGATTGAAAAGCCGGCTGGACTGCCACCATTTTCTCAGGGGGTACCAGGGGACACCCCTTTCATACTCAACACCACATGACAGCTCTGTTTTGGCCTGCTCGCTCATATTTCAAGAAATAAAACGACAAAGAAAAAACGACGAAAAATGGCCACCCTCTGTTTTGATGACAGTCAGCAAGTAACTTCTGGACTCTCGGGGTTGACCGACTGAAATTTCAGCAATTAAAATCTCCTTAATGAGTGTGGGAATAAAATAAAGATTTGCCAAAGCTAAGGGTGGTGAGACAGAGAAATCTCTGAGGGGCTTTATATAGTGCTCCTGTCTGTTTTAGCACTTATTAAGCACTCATGCCGATCCCATGAGAAGGGTGTGTGGGCATGGGGTGATGGGTGTGGAAGGGAGGCTGTTACCTCTTGCTGGCCTGAAGAAGGCGGCAGACTAATTAGTTGTATTTATAACTTTTAAGGGCACGATGGCAAATAGCGAGCAGTTGGTCGAGGCTAGTTTGTGTTTGAACTGTTGCATCTGTTGCCTGAAGACCTGTTCTTCTCACATCCCAGTGAACTCTATTCTGCCAGTGGTGACTGGGCGGCTCAGTCTTGTCATGAGCCAGTGATACTGTCTCTTCCCCCTGTGTTTCACTCCTCAAAGGCCACACAGTGGCAGTGGTTTGTCTGGAGCATGAAATACCTCTAGAGGCTGAGAAGGACACAAAATGCTTTTTCTGTCTGTGTGTGTGTGTGTGTGTGTGTGTGTGTGTGTGTGTGTGTGTGTGTGTGTGTGTGTGTGTGTGTGTGTGTGTGTGTTATCTGAAACATTTCAGTGGCATGTGTGTGTACTGAGTATACAAAACTCACTTCCACTTCATTTTTCTTTCGCTTTGCAGTTTCAACAGGATTATTATTGTTCCCTCTTTTATCAAGTGTGACAGACTTGTCAGTGTTTCATTTTTAAAACTGTATGCCCTGAGATCTTGGCATACTGTCCACTGGAGCACAAAACAGATTGAACAGATGTTTCTGACACTTTGTGTGATGCCTCACCCGCCGTTTCTGTCTGTAGGATATGCTGTGAGAGGTTAAACTGGGATTCTCTGCTACTTCTTGAGTTGCCTGAAAAATTGGTTCCTCTGTTTCAACCATCAATAGAAACTTCCATCCTGTTCACATCAAAGACGCGTATGCCCACAGTGCACCAAGATGTTCATGCTATTCTTCAAAAGTAGTCTGGAAGGTAGAAATAAAAATTGGCAAAACAATGGGTATGAAAGATGAAAACTCTCAAATGTGAGTTTTACCCATCTCCACACTTAATGGTTATATGTACTAATGCACCAGCCTCCTAGACCATAACAATTGGTGCTAGGGCCAACTCCATGACTCCATAGACAAAACCAGTCATTTTACCCAGATGACAATCGTAAACACACATAAAAATTAAACAAAATAAAGCTTACCAAAAACATCTGTATTGGTCTTTCCAAATCACCAGCACTGCTTTGGTTGGTTGGGTTGTTTAACAAGAAACAGCTGTAATATTGTTATTGCTTGCAACCAGACTCCATAGACAAAAACTGTTATTTTACCATGCATATCATCGTAACACTGTAACTTCATTCAAAGTGGACAGAAACAAAATAAAACTCACCAAAACCATCTCTGTGGGTCACCCTGGTAGCTCACTTGGAAGAGCATGCGCCCCCCATGCGCAGAGTCCCGCTGCAGCATTCGGTTCTAGTCTGTGGCCCTTTGCTGCATGTTATCCCTTCTCTCTCGCGCGCTCTCTACCCACTTTCCTGTCACTCTCCGGCTGCTATTAGCTAAAATTATCACACACACACAAAAAAACCTGGTTTGGTCGAAATAAGTCCTTAATTCACCAATGCAGATGAGAAAAACAGCAATTTCAGTTGCTTTTGTACATGGACTCACATGCACTCACATCCACATGTGGCCAGCCAGGCTTTGTTATCACAGAGAGTCTGGGCAGCAACACACAGACAGAAACAAAACAAAACAAAACAGACAGAGAAAAACTTTAAATAAAGTTATGTAAATCTTTCACAGTTAGTTTTTAATCAAAGAATGACCAGATGTTTTAAAAAGTTTAAACTTTACCTAGAAATGATACCCCAACACATAATGTTTTTATCACCATTCACCACAGTTTTCAGTAAACAAGGAGCTCTTGATTTAAGCAGAGCTCACTTAATATTTCATTTTAAAGTAAATAAAATAACATGGTTGAAGTACCACACTGTATTTTTAGTTCAAATTTTCACCCTTCTTTTTTTGTTACCTTATTTTCTCTCATCTCAGCTTGTCTATGTATGTGTGGGCTTGCTGCTGTGAGCTGCAACTTTTAAACACTTGCTAGCCCTGCAGCTGATTTCCCTGATTTGTTCCTCTTCTCTGCTTGTTAATTAGTGGCAGAAGGTTGAGTCAATCCAGCTCAACAGAGTAAACTAATTGTGTCTGTCTATCCTGTTTCCCAACACTTTCTCTTTGTCTGTGTAGTAAATCATTAGTATATAGTATCATTGGTCACAAGGTGATTAGAGTGTAATTTTCACAATTAGTAGGTCACGAGTTTTCCAGGTTTATCTCAGTTTTGCATGGACTGAAATTACACTGAAGATATGTAGCGTAAAAAGGTAGATTAATGGACCGACAGGAAATGATTATTGATTATGCAACATTATCTTGATTTATTGATTGATTAGAACTGAGTTCATGAAGTCTTACACACAGCCAACTATCACAAAAGCTTTGGCTCACTTCAGCTAACATCAATAAAGTCACAATATTGTGTGATTCATAACATCTATAATTTCAGTGGTGATTGATATAAACCTCACACAGTTAATGTAGTCCAGCAAGGGATTTACTGCTCATGTCTCAGTGAGAATAAGACAACAATTAGGGAACAATTGGCTTTTTTCATGGCCAAGATTTTGAAATGCCAGAACAGCTAAAAGCACAGTCATTGACTAAACATTTAATAATTTTTTTGTATTGATAATTACCCATTGTCAATGCAAAAGCCTCAAACATGGGTGGTAGCTGAGGCCCGTTGCCTTATAGTGCCCTACCAGGGCAAAATACAGTCACTGCGTGATTGGTGAAAATGTAGGTAAGGTTTGAATTTCACATTTTGACATTTTGACTAGCTTAATTTAGAAGAGCTCTAGCTGCCATATAGGCTTTTGACTGATGGAATGAATGTGATTTGGTGTGGTTAAGGTATCTTTAAATCAAATACTGTAATTAAATGTATTGAATTGTAAATTAATTTAAAACTAAAATGGATCATTGTGAAATGACCATATAAATAGGCAGTGGTCTGTCACATCAACATATCAGGATACTAATCACACTGTCATCCACCTGTTTAATCCCTCAATGTATAAATCTCAATCTGTATTTAATTGGCTCTCGACTAGCAACCACGAATTTTGATGTGTTATAAACTAGACAAGTAAGGACCTCAAATGTTGACAGCTTAATAGACATTTAGCTGATCTGGGGATTCACACTGCACTCAAAGGTCTGAGTGTCCACATACTTCTGGCCAAGGAGTGAAACTTTTACGTCCTTGTTTGCTTGAGGCCGTTACCATGGGCAACGGAGGTCGCAGGTTAAGGACGCGTGGAGCCTACGTTTGGCGTCTTTGTAGAAATGTTTTTACACTATAACTTATTAACTCGGTTTATTCGCTCCAGCGATATGAACTTTAGTGTCCTTCATAATTCACAAATCCACCATGACTAGTAGAAATAGTAGGCTGAATCCGCGTATTTCGGGTAGAGTAAAGCCTGCCTTGGTCCGTGAACAGGAAGTTAGTGCGCGGAGCACGGACTCCCGGGAGAATCATGACCGCCGAACGCTGCAGCTGAGCCGGCAGGGTCGCCTGGAAGCGCCGCGGAGACCGAGTGGATCACTAAGCCGGCTCTCACATCCTGAAAGCAGACCAGAGAATATGGGACAACAACGCATGGGAACGGTATTGCATTTATTAGCCTAAATAAACTGCACGAGTTCATTCAAATTCAGAGAATACAACACAGTTTGTTTGTCTTTGTGTATATAAAGAATGAGTGACTTCATATCTTCTCTCAGATGACTTTCTCTGCCACATCATCACCAAATCATTTTGATGTCTTGAATCAGGATTAACTTCAAAAAACGCAGGCAGTTTATTCATCTCACCCAAAATGAAAAAAGGCTGTTTCTCTCTCTCTCTCTCTCTCTCTCTCTCTCTCTCTCTCTCTCTCTCTCTCTCCTATCTTTTTTTCCCGGATTGCTGATTCATCTCATCCCATCTGGCAGCTGCTAAAGATCAGAAAGTCTTCATGGTCCCTCCTGCTTTTTCTCCCTTGAACTACGAATGCCCTTCTCAAGTGATATTTTCATATCTTTCTATGTATGTGTGTATGATCCCTTTCATTTCATGGCAGGGATTCTATCTCTCGCATTCATCAGTAACCCCAGCTGCCCCCCTGGGCTACACAGAGCAGTCCCATCCAAGACCAGCCGCTTCATCTACTTTGAATGGACACTGACCCTCCTCTTTGCTCAAGCACATCAAGTGTGTTGCAAATCAAATTTTCTAGCCTAGAGAAAAACAGATTTCGGACTTGCAGTCAAAGGATGGGAAACACACCCATGACCCAGTTTCTTTTAACCGTCCTCAGTGCGATTTGAGTTGGAGAGGATCTTCATAGATAGTTTTGAAGGCCCGTGGGTTCGGCAGAGTCAGTTTTCCTAATCAGCAGCACAGATGCTGTGTCTGATCCCCCCAAGCCTGTTCCCACTAACAAATGCATTTGAAGTAAGACGTCGCCATTTGTAAGGTGATTACAGTCACCTACGCTCAGGGTAGGGCAAATCACAAGGCTTCAAACAGCCCGCCATGAATCCACGGGATATTAGCAGCTAATGCATCAAGGGGGATGAAGTGTCAAATGGCTGGTTTGTCCCTGTGGACACTACATTCATCATACTTATTGTGAGGCTTGCTGAGTCGCTGAGGCAGGCTGGCAGAGAGACGTGGTACGCATCAAAACTGACACATCAAAATGGAGTTGCTTATCTATGGAAATATATTTTCGGAAAGCCGTTTTACAAGTTATTGCAGCCAGCAATGAGTCAGAAAAAATGTGGAGTGATGCTTGAACCTCAATCTAACATAAAACAATGCTATTGGTTAAAAAAAAAATCATTCGCTGAATTGGTTTAGCCATGCCTGTTGCCAATCCATTGTCTCTATGACTACAGTGAACAAGAATATTCCTGTATACACTGTAAATCACTGAGGAGGGAAAATAAGGCAATCTCATCTTCGGCAGTTTCCTGCTCTATGTTATTGCATTTGCAATGCTTTTGATTCAGCTCTCTGTGGTGCTGTTAAGACAAATGCAATACTTACAACATTGTTTGGTGTATGTGTGTTACTCCTGGGTATTGATGGAAATACACAGGCTAAGGGCACTTCACAGACCATTTGTAAAATAAGTTTTTCTGTCACATGTATGTACTGGAGCATGTACTCTGTGTGCGTCCATGTGTGCACATACAGTATTCATACGCTGAGGTCTCTATTTTCTGTGTCCACTGAAGTAGCAGAAAGGCAACAGTATCCCGGCTTGACTTGAAAGAGATTTGCAGCAAATGAGCTCATCCATCAGCTGAAGCGTGTGGGGACAAGGGGATGATGAGGAGAAGGAGGGTGAGGAGGAAGATGAAGAGAGACGATAGGGCGGAGCAGGGGCAGAGCAGAGGCAGGACTGCTCAGAGAGAAGCCTCACAGTGAAATATGACGGCCGTAGCATTTCCATGCTCTCCAGCACGTTCTCTTGTCCTTTGGATGTTGCAGCTTGAAGACTTGAGCTCAGCTTGGTCCTTTCCCAGTTTATCTGTAGCTTTGCCATAATTTTAAAAAAGTCATGACATTTAGGGGCAGTAGCATTTTTAACTGCATTAACCATCAGTAATTCCAGTAATTCAGCATGTACACTCTGGAACGTTTTCTTTAAACCTTTAACATACGACTTTCCCCCCTTTTCTCCAGCTTTAAGGTTGGAGAAATTATGCTGTCTGACAGTGTCATATATGTCTTGTATCAATTGGTTCCAACTTTTCATTGAAGATATATCATGTTTACACTGAGTGACTTATTCAGATCTATTATTCTAGATGTCCTGTGCATCATTTCAGGCACATTTTCCCCAAAATTCAGCAATATTTGGTGTCTGGAAAATTGGGATCTCCCAGAGGATTTCAGATAAAGTTATATGAATTTAAACCGCATTTAGCTGCACAGCATGACTTTGTACCAGTTGACCTACCGGAGGGTAAATGCAGTTTAACAGGTTTTTTCGCATCGCTACAAAGGCATTAGAACCAGTAATCCAAGTTGTGAATGCTATTGGTCAGCAACAATTCAGATATTTGGTTTCTGGAACTGAAAAGGGACTCCTGTGTGGAAGCCTGAACAAAATGAAGACGGATTGGGAGCAGTAGATTATCTTTGGCTTTGTTTTTAGTCATTCATCTGTGGTCAGAGTTTGAATGCATTGTGGCTTGATTATCAGGAGAGAAGAATAGACATTACAAATTTTAAAGTTGAAATCGCATTCATAGTAATGGTACAGTAAGTGTTACAAAGACAGAAGCATTTTATTTAACTTGCGAACATGTTTGATACTCTAGTAGAACTACTCAACTTGCAGATTAAAGGACACTTCAGAGTAATTTGTTTTCAAAAAACAAGATGGAGATCAGTTCTACTCTCACTCCCATAGTTACTGTTAGTACCTGTCAAACTTTCCAGTCGCGCTCGGCACATAAGTAGTTTGCAGCGGTAACGATAGCATTTTAATGGCCCAGTGTGGAGGATTTGGTGGCATTTAGCGGTGTAGTTGGAGATTGCGTCTCCCTCTCTTCACCTTCCCCTTCATAGTGAGGAGAAACTATGGTGGCTGCGAAATGCCCCTATCTAGAGTAGTGTTCGGTTTGTCTGTTCTGGGCTACTGTAGAAAAACATGGTGGTTCAACATAGTGGACTCTGTAGATTGTCTGTAGATATATACAGCTCATTCTAAGTTAACGAGAACATTCCTATATTCAGGTGATTACACACCAATGAAAACATAGCATATTATATTCCATTTCTGCCGACAGAGCCTCCTAAATGTTACACACTGGACCTTTAACATTATAAATTCTTAGAAATTTTTGAAGCAATTGTTTCTTCACTATGCACAGAGGTATGCAACAGGATACTCCTTCCTAGTAAGCAACTTTTTTTGTAATGACAAAATCAACGTTTGTAATGACAATTGTTGTTCGGCTTTAGCTAGCTACCTAATTGAGGTAACACTACAGTACTTCCATAAGTTGGTTGGAAATTTCTTTTTCAGCTGACTTTTTATTATAAAAAAACTCTTTCTTCTAAAAGGAGTCTTAAATATACACAGACATTATATTTTGATAAAAGACAGGCTAAAGCTGCATGCCAACATTAACGATTCACGTAGCAGACATGGAAATTTAGAAATGTTATAATATTCTGAAAATTATTTATAGTAATATTACAGATGTTTAAACAGTATACTGTTGTTGTATTGTGGTTTGTCCTAAATGTAGGGGGATAAGGATAAGAAATGGTAAAATACGTTAAAAGTCTTTTAGGATGAGGACTAACTGATGTGTAAGAAAACAGTGGACTAGCTTTGAACTGAGCTTTAACAGAATCTGTAACCCCACAAACTAACGTAACCTAGTTAGTTGATCATGTGTTTCTTGATCTTAGAAGTAAAGCTGAGTTACTACTTTTGATAGCAATTGCAGTTAGATGAGATTAACACACTGTAATCTATTTCTTACATTTTTGCGGAAAATAGGTGGGAAAAAAGACAGAACCCTCCCTGTTTAAAGGCCAAGTAACACTCATAGTAGTACACTGCCTAAGCATGCTGATAAATACAGAACTGTGTCCCTATGTCCTTAACTAGCTGAGACTATGTTGGAAATAAGTGTTTAACACTGTAACATGTTATTCTTCAGATTTAATAATTTTTTTTAAACAAATCAAGATTTTAGAAAAATCCTCCTGAATATGAAGTCCACGCTAATTGTCCTTTGCCTCCTCTCTGATGATCTATTCATAGGCGACTACAGATGACCCACCAAAGATAGTGGACCAGCCCATTAACAGCTACCCTCCAGATTCCACAGGAGGAAGCAAGGTGTGACTGTTAATCGTTAAGCCCACATTTATAGTCCTCTGACACCCTGTTATCTAATTTATACTGTAGAAAACATCAGTTTATCTTGCATAAGGAGGTTTTTTTACTCAATGCAGTTAATTATGTTGAGATTAATTGCCTGATTATCTGTCATTTCCATAATCGATGTCATATTAGAGACACAATTTTTACTCTTGGCCTGCTGCCCAATTTGCCTCTGCAGAGGTCACAGGGGGATGCGACAGAGTCTTTCATGGATGAAGAGGTGCTCTGAGCTACAGAGCAATTCAGAAGACAAAAAGATAATAGCTGCTTGGCCTTTTTTATGTCTTTGTTTTTATGCACTTTTTTTCAGAGTTTGCCAGTTTCTCGTACCCAGGCTGGAAAAAGAGCTGATATTGTTTCCCTGAGGAAGCATCTGGGCCACGCCAGGTGAGAATTACATCTGTGGGTGTTTAGCAAATATGGAAAGCATGAATCTCTTCTGTTGTTATAAGTATGTTGTGTTGAACTGCTGTTTCCCCTGAAACAGACACCTATGCATGGAAAAAGTCACGTTTAACAATAAAATGGCTCATAAAAAGGTAAAACTGCAACTGTGTGCTCACTGCAGGTATGCTCAGCTTTCAGTGTTTCTGTATCCTGCAGGCAGTGGAGTCCTGGCACTCAAAAAGCTGTGGCATTTGGTCCTGTGTGTGTGTGTGCAACCCCCTAACCCCACCACAGGGTGTAGAGACAACATCCTCTGGGGGCAGCCAAGGGTACTTCCAACCGGCTGACATTTCTGACAGCCTCTGATAGAGCCCAGAGTGTTGAATTATTCATACAGGTGTTATGGGGAAAGGTTGCCATTTTCACAGGAGAAACTAACCCCCAGATGAATTGTGGCTGTTTACCCCTGCAAGTGAATACAGTAGTAATGATTTGGGGCTGTGATGCCTTTTAGGCCAAATGGCAGCCCATTTTCTGTCAGCTCACATGTTGACTGCTCATAAGTCTCACTGCTTCTCTGGCCAGTGCAAACCTCTTAGACTTAATCAACTTGGTTTTGTTTTTCAGCTTGGGCAGTTAGGTGTAAACATCTGACACTTAGTGGTCTGTTTTTCAGCACTGCCATATGTCATAATGGACGTCTTAATGGAAATATAAAGCATTGGGTTATTACCATTTTCTTCTCTCACACAGATATCACTTATCTCTATAGGTGTCTAGCCATGCTGATAGTTTTGGTTTTATTCACCTTGATGTAGTGATATCTGCTGTTGAGATTTCCACCCTGGTACAGTGGAAGTGAGTGGAATTTCATTGTATTTTCTCGTGACAGACAAAAAGGATGTTTTTTCTCAAACAATGTCCTTGTTATTGCAGATAATCTTCTTCATTAAAGGAATAGTTTGGCATTTTGGGCAATATGCTTCTTTTCTTTTCTTGCTGAGAGTGAGATGCGAAGATTGATACCACTCTAATGCCTGCCCATTCAGTATTAAGCTAGCTTAGCATAAATACAGGAAGCAGCCAAGAAATTGTTAAAGCAAGTAACTCCCTGTAAAACCACAACTTATCCTTTTTACATTTCTGTTTGTGTACATATTAAACAAGGAACATTTCTGCAAAAATGCAACCTAGCTGGTAGTCACGGCCCACATGTGTCCAACTGATGTAGTTTTACAATCATCCACTGTTGTAAAGTTAGACAACAAACCATTATTTCACAAACAGATCAAGTCCACTGAATTTCTTAGCTACTAATGATAATGATACTAATTAAGGTTCCATTCCATTTAGTGTTGCAGAGCCTTTCAAGTGAGCCATCATTTATAATAGCAGCACCCTGACTGAATGAAACAGAACCTTAATTAGTATCATTGGTAACAATTGTGTTTACCCTACTATTTCATATCCAAAAGGCTGCTGTGAAAAAGGGCTATTAGGCTTTGGTGGTAGGTAGCTTAGGAGAAGGTAAGGCTAGCTGTTTCCCGCTTCCAGGTTTTATGCTAAGCTACAGTAATTGCATCGATCTCTCAACAAGAAAGCAAAAAAGTGTGTTTTAAAATGTTAATTTATTCCTTCAAAGTGTTTTATAACTGGGACATTGTTTTGGTAAAACACATTGCTGTTGAGTTTTTCATGTGTATTTTTTCCCATGTTTTGGCAGGCAGTCACACTTAATTGCAGTATTATTAAGTACATGCTGCTCAGTTATTTATCAATTCCCATTTACTTCCATTGCATTGGGGGTAGATATTCGCCTCTAACATCTATCCGTATGATTTGGGTTAACTGACCCATAATGCATCACTTTGCTCCACTAAATTAATCAGAGGTGTGCCGTTGGGTCTAGCATTGGTTTTCTTTTAGGAAAGATCTCTATTCTCGGATACAAGCCAAAAATATAAGAAAAATGCAATGATAATATTACATAATGTCAAATAATGTATTTCAAATGGCTCTAATCCTCTGTAGGATAGGGATTTGTCACATAATTTTGTTCATCTCAAAAACACAGACACAGCTGTAATAATTGTCTCTTTTTCTTCTGTTTAAAGATGAGATGGAAATTAGGACACAAATTTAAAGATATTTACTTTAATTTTATTGGTTCCTGCACCACAACAGTTATGTTATTTACGCCATGTGTACATAAGATAGATTTTGTTTTTGCATCTTTGCACTGACTTTATGGGTTTTACCATTCCTTTTATATCCAGAGCATGCACTGCTGTCACAATACAGAGGCAACTTGTGATGCTCCAAGAAATTATCTGGTGTGTAGATTCCTTGAAAGTTCAGTTAGTTTTCATGTTTCCTTCTTTTACCTTCATGTTTTGTCTCAGTAGACACCACAAAGCCCAATCAGTGTTTTGGCTCTCACCCTCGCCTCTGGTACTCTGTCATTTATGACTGCGGCAGCTTGTGTTGTCGCAGTCTGCGATTTGTCTCTGGCGATGTTGACATGAAACATCCCATGCTGTCTTGTCAACACTACTGCAAGTCCTGTTTCTCTTCACGTTGTAGCTGACAGATAATACTTCCCATGTAATATTCTTCTGCTAGATTTATAATTAGGACTTGATTATGAAAAGTGTTTGAACTCCTTTACGTCATGTTGCAGTGCCTTGTGTGTGATACCCTACAAACATGCTTAAGGCTTTAATCAGAACTTGCACATTAAAAATTCACATACAGGAATGTATGATGATGTGAGAGTAGAGCCGATGAGTAGATTCAAAATAGATATCTTAGTTGGTGTAATCACTGCAAAGATTCCTCACCTACCACAAACCTTATCCCTTTTTGTTGCCTGGCAACAAGCTGCCACCCAAGGGCTCCAATGATTTGATCTGTTAAAAACTGTCCCCCTCCACCACTACCCTCCCCCATGCACAAATGTCTAAATTTTTCACATTGCAATCAATTTTTAACCACCTATCAAGTCCTCCTTCCAAGCATTGTCAACTTTAATGAGCTTTTCAAGCCAGCCTGTGATGTGTGGTCATGATTCACTCTCACAAAGAAGAATAACTTGTTGTTGACTGGAAGGACAGACGGTGGTGATGAGAAAAGGCATAATGGGGTTTCACTTCAGAGCTTCTTGGCATTCAAACACAAAAGTTGCATTGTGTGTTTGTGTATTGATGATACATTGCTTTTTCTCAATGCCTTTTATTTTCTTGTCACACCAAATACTGCAGCCTGTCATTGACTCGGCAGCTTTCTTCTGTCTGCTTCTTTCTCTCTCTTCTCCCCCTTTTCCTTTCAGCATATTATTGTTCAGCTTTCATGTTACACTCTGGCACAACTGGTGCTGTTGTCACAAACATTTGTACATGTGGTGCATCAAACACAAGCAGAAAGACACCCACTTGCCTGCCAGTTATTAGATATTAATCAATTTTAAAAAACATTAGCTGAACTAAAGTGAAACAGTCACTTTAGCACAAAGAGCTAACGAAATTAGTCACGTCTGAGGCAAGGTCACTGTGCCACCTCCCACACTCTTGGCAGCCGGCAGCTACTCCAGGGAAAAACTTTTTGCACATTTGAAGCTACGAGTCATTAGCGATGCTGATAGAAACGCACTTTAATTAAGACTGCCGCATTTTGGACTTAGATGTCACATCTGAAGATTAATAAGTAATATCAGGGGTGTGGTGGTATGCAAATAGAACAGACATGCCTCTGAGCTAAACTGGTGCACTCGTTGTATCACCGAACAGAGCCAAATTAGCATGCTGGAACACAAGTGCTCGGTGCCCCCCTCCTAGGCTGAAGTGCTTGGCTCCACTTGTGGGCGAAATATTACCAGCCAGCTGCTCGCTAGATAACAAATAAGAACTGGAGCAGCAGAGGGTTGGAACATATGCAGGCGTTTGTGGTTTCAGCCTTGCAAAAAACAAAATCTGGTCTGCCTGGAGAGGAAACGTCACAAGAATATTATGAGGTCACTGGTCACTTCTTCTTGTTGGTTTCTTTTCATGTTTATAATCAGGAAATTGAAGCTGCTTCTTGTTAAATGCACTGTAAGTTACTCTTTACAACTAGGTTAGCCAAATTATGTCTAAAAAACTAAATTAATGTGTTTCCCTCCTTATAAAACATTGGAAAATACTTTCAGCATGTTAGAACCTGAATCATTTGCATCACGGTTTTATCAAAATAACTGTATAAAATTTTCCAAGAAGTTACCCCATTCATACCAAAGTAAGTTGTTCACTTGGCACGTACTCTGCAAACGTTTTTGAGGTTTGCTCAGGTTTCTGCATTTTTGGGCTCACAGAGCATGAGCACTAGAGTGTTTCTCCAGCTGCACTAATTGAAGGCATGCACATCAGAAATGTGTTCACGTTGTGCAACCCACTGTACGTGCACATTAGTGTTTTACTCCCACTGGGCCCACCTGCATGTTCCCCCACAGTCCACAAACTTTACACTGAGATGATGTCACGTTTTTCTAGGCTCTCGTTTTACAAATAGAAAATCTTCATGGATGAAAAATTCATAATACAAAGAGTAATAATTCACCTGTCTGCAGTTGGAGCTGTTAGAATTGGGGAAAATGCTTTTCGGGCCACATGGATATTTTTTCCGTTGCATTACAATGAGTGGCCCTGAGAAAAAATTGGTGGCAAAGTTGAATGACAGCGTCCTATCCATCTTTCTTAATATATCCATTGTTTACATCCATTTTTGTTAGCTAGCTGGCTTTTTTAGGGATGCACAATATGGATTTCTTTTTCAGCTGCTAATATATAAATAACTGATAATTACCTGCTTCCCATGGCTGATAATAATTACACACTTGATGGCAAGAAAGGTTAAGATGTACTGAGAAAAGATATTTGATATTCCATTGCTCTGACCTAATTTAACTGACATCACATTTCTCAAACATACTTTGGCTTCCATAGAATGTAAAGGCTGTTGATTCTTTTTTTTAAATTATTATTATTATGGGCCAATAATTTATTAGCTGTAATTTTAATTATCCGGATAATTCATAATAATAAAAAATTCCCATAATCGTACGATAATTGTATCTGCCCTGATAAGTCCCTAGTCTTTTTCATCTCTGCCTTTTGCTGGCATATTACTACATTTCTTGGCTCATTACTGCCACCAACTGTTGATCAGTGGAATTACATGAAACCATTGGCAGGAATGTGTATGATAGCTCCTGTGTGCACAATACATGTGCTATTAGAGCTTAAGAACTCTGGATGGTACCTTTAAATGACTCATACTGTTAGTTTTCTAATGAAATCATTCCCTTGGACAGCAGAATACTGTAGAAGATAACACGATGTCAATATAATCTCAACACATTTTCACTGTATATAAACAATACTGAATTATTGCTCATCCCTAATATACTTTATTCTCTAGGTATAGCCTTTGCTTATCTCAGAGTCACAGTCATATTGAAACTCCTGATGAGTGCTGAACTTCCTCCAACCTGAAAAACATTCATATAAGCTCAACCACAGCCTTTCTTTCATTTTAAAGCACATACAGCCCTGTAATATTTTTCTTTTAAGTCCCAGTCGATTTTAACAACAAAGGATCATACAGCTGACACGGTGTACACCACCTTGATTCTCAATTCCAGCTGACAATAACGAGCTTTGTGGCAGCCTGCACTTTGACCTGCTTTCCTCAGCCTCCTTCACTCACAAGAAGGCAAACTACTTATGTGAAATTATTAAGAAACACTGAGGTTTGTTACCTTGGCCGGTCTCCTGGCAAAGTCACCTCGACAGTTGCTTCTGTGCGTGCGTCTTTTAATTTTCCACCGCAGCATTAATGCAAAGGTAATTACGCGTGCAGTATGAGAAAAACAAGCAAACAGTATTTGAGGAAAGGTTATGGTTGGAAGCTAAACCGCCATAATTAAGTCATTAATCTGGCCAGACGTAACACGTTTCTCCCATAATGCTCTAGTTAGGTGTCATTTGTGCCTGCCTGCTGCTTTGGTGTGCTCTGATTTGGATGATTTACAGTGCACGCAAGTGTGTGTGTATGTGTGCCTGTGTGGTTGTGAGGGATTATTGTAATGACACACGAGCACTTTTGACTGTAACTCATTGGCTTTGATGGTTTTTGTATGTCTCTGGCAAAGACAGGAGATTAATGTGTCAGCTTGACATTTGTGGTTTATGTGCGTTTTGTGTTTTTCTTTTTTGTCATTTGGGTTGTTGAAAGGTAAACATTTATCATTATTAAAGCATCCTGGTGATGCCCCTGTATTTATGACTCCCGCTTGTGCATCTCTGCTTTGCAGGCGTTTGGCATTCGCAATTAAGCGGGGCCAAAGCTACTTCCACCTCCTGCAGAAAGAGGAACGGGAGGAGCAGGAGGTGGAGGAGAGTCAGCAGATGAGGAGGGAGGAGCAGCTGAGAAGAGAGCCACGACCTCCCAGGTTCTCCTCTGACTCAGACAGCGAATCAGAGGGGTGAGGCACCAACTCACATCAGCTCAGTTTCATTTCTTCTTGCAGTGTCTCTCTGGAATGGTTTCAGCTTGGATGTAAGGCATGTGTAGTGTATTTTACTTTAAACCAAAACTAGGATTGGACTTACTTTTTCACAAGAATATTTAAAGCTACACTAATCAATAATCTTATATTATTATCAAGTGCTACACTCATTACATACAGTGTACCACTCTGTTGTTCCCCTCAGTTCTACAGAGAGTTTTGGTTCTACAGCCCAAAACTTTATTGTTTTCGTTCACACTCCCATCAACCCAGCAGCAGAAAGCTGCTATATTTAGCAAAAAGGCTCTGATAAACCCATCCCCTGCACAGCTCCAAACGGCAGACAGACAAAGTTAGCACTAGCTGGTGAACATAGTGGGGAATTTAGCAGAGCCGGATGTTTCCCCTAGGAGTTGCAGAGACCAAAACAGAGCTAAAAGGAGAGTCAATCATATTCCTCAGGGGGCTAACATTCAGAGTGTATGGGAGCCTGTTTATGAATTTCACTGGAGAGTTGTAGAGACACCTGATATATGTACGGTATGTATGAAATATTTGCAGCTTAGTTGGAAATTAGTATTAACATCAGCTTTCAAAACATCCAAATATTGTTAAACCTACATGCATGCTAAAATTGTTAAAATATACAGCAGATGAGCAAAAGCTAATTGAGGTCATTCTTAAGAGCTAACAGCACTGCACCTGTGCTGCATTCAGGTGGCCTGTGCCTGCAGGAACCAGCTGGTCAAATGCGAACGAAGCAAGGCTACGCAGGAGGAAGAGCCAGTCAGCACGACCTTTCACCCCTGTCCATCACTCTCTGACCTCTCCTCTGCTTAGTGAAGCACCGAGGTAAGATTACTACACTGAACAGCCTGCTCCTTCAATAATATTCAACATGGTGGCCTTTAAATGAGCCGTTTCATGTTCAAGTGTTTTAAGATACTCAAGGGTAGAAGCGGTCTAAGAGCTCGGATCTGAGTATGGTTGATACTTTAGGCCACATAGACCCCAGAGAGGCTGCGCTTGCTCTTGGTCGGTGCACGATGCATTCACAAGCCACATCATATCTCAGTGATTTTTCTTGCTAAAACAGCATAGGTCAGCATTTTAATATTTTGTTCAGCGATTCTTGTACTTAAAAACCAACTACCAAGCTGCTTCTGTGTTAACAGATGGAGACGGAGTTGTGCAAAACCCACTCTGCAGCAGCTAGAAAGCAGCAGCATGCTCGTTACTTACAGTGCAAGAGCTTCAGCCTGTCACTTTCAGTCTATAACCTTCAGAAATACAATTCTTATACCATGTTGTGCTGTACTTCACCGTGTGCACTTTGTACAGTTGGTAGAGTTGCCATAGTGTAGTGTACACACAGTATGCTGTTTGCTGTATTTCCTCTGCAAATAATTTATTGCGGGATGGTCTTCAACGTAGTCAGATAAAGGCTTTGACCTTCAAAATGAATTGTTTGTCGAATCAGAGCTCAAAGTAAAGACAATTATAAATATCAGCGCTAAGAGGATCAGTTAATGCCTCTTATTTAAACCGTTTTGCGTAGTTAGGTATAACACCTGAATATTTGTTTCTATTATTATTTATAGCACACTATTCACCCCTTGTTTAAATGGCAACATAGGTTTCAATGTGTTTTTCATAAGAAACACCACACGCTGTACTGAAGTAAAGAAAAGGGTGAGATGTTTGAAAAACATTAGATTTTAAGGAATCACTGCACTTAATCCACCCTCCTCCATCAGTCAGTGTTCATCCGTTTGATCCATGTCAAACAGATGTGTTACTACACCTCAGCAAACATCAAACAAAGAAAAGCAAACAGGCAGATTGCTGAATATTTAATGTAAAACATCTGACAGTGAGAGATATTCCTGATGCTTTCATTTTGTATTTCTTTCATTCGGCTGACTGCTTTGATGCTGCATGAACCAGAGCTAACCTTTCTGAAAAAACAAATCAGAAAAAGTTTTCTCTGACAAATCTGCCTTGTTGGCTGACAATAAATACACTCACTACTGGGGTTCAGAAAAGCAACATTTAGTGGTTTCTGCCCTGCAAGTGTTATGCACTGCTTTGATCTTATATAGAGGATTTAATGGGAACACTGCCTACAATCCACTAGTACTAGCATTTGAACAAAAGTGTAATACAGTATGCATCACACATTATGTTGGGACGGAAGTGTAATGTGGTTGAAAATGATTGAATGACAAAGCAGGAACATTTAAGCACCCAAACTAGAAGACACCTATACCAGTAGTAGAGCCAAGGTATGTTTGCACTTCTGTCACCCAAACTAACTAACGCATATATTTAGTGTAATATTTTGGCTTAATTATAAACTTTCATCATACTGTATATAGTTTGTTTGCAGCAAAGTAGAGGTCTTGAACCAGGCTAGCATTTATCCATAAGTAGGATATAACATTTTGATATGTTAACTGCTCAATAACACTGGTTCAGTCAGGACCATTTTTGTCAAAAGAAACTTATCCCAAATGCAGAATGTTATATTTGGCTGTATGACTCTGTTCTGGGACCTCCTTGCCCTTCCACGTGCATATGTGGAAAAGCTTAAGACAAGGAGAACAGCAGCAAATACCCCCCAGGGTACAGAACAGAGCAAGCATCAATAGCAACATAAATGACATTGATTAAATCAGATAAAGCATAAAATGAGGAGCTGGGTTGGAAGCGAGTTGCAAAACGGCTTGCAGAGGAAACAGCAAAGGTAGGCAGGCTAAAGCAGCTTAAATAAGGGGCCCTGAATGATATTTGTCAATTGGATGCTTGAAGGGAATCAGCTGAGCCTTCAGCTGATGTGTGTTTACGATTAGCTGTGATCAGCTGATGTTGTGATGTGATGAGCTTGACTTCGTGGCCTGCCTGAACCAACGCTGTGCTTAATCAATGGTAAATCTTCAGTAGTTTTAAACCGAATAATTAACAGCCTCTATTTATTATTGTACTGAGAGTGTAACGTGAGATTTGAATGTCTTTGCTTTCAAATTAAAGTCTTGAAGGAGCGAAGCCTAATCTTTGCAATTTATGTCTGACTTAAATTAAAGTCTAAAGTGCTAAAGTTACTGTAAAAGCAAATAAGGACCTAATTTAAGTGATTAATACATTCATGGCCAGTGCTGATTCACTTCATCGTATATACTGAAAATAAAATGCTAAATGGAAGTGTGGCTATTATTTCAGGCTTGTTCTCTCACCTTTATGGACACAGGAGTCCTCTGTGCTTTACATTTGTCTGTGCACTGTTCCACGGTGACAAATCTGCAGCCTGAGTTTATGATGCATCACCTGCAACTCTACATGCATTTCCTCTGACACTGCATTATTGCCACTGCCAGAATACAGCCTTGTTTTCTGGCGAGGCCTCTGGAAAATAACAACCCTGTTCAAAAGCTGTTACCTGACAACTGACAGATCCTAATCTAGCAGACTATCTGCCTGGCAGACAAATGGCATGGTCGACAATGAAAAGAGCTTAGAGCAAGTCAGGGCAGCAACATTTGTGGGCAGGGGGAGCGAGGCAGAAAAAGAGGCAGAATTCATATTGTATTGTTTGATGTGTGAGGAGATCATGGGAATGGATGTGGTCATAAAGCCTCGAAGCGTGAAAGTGTCGAGGTGACAGACGGCACCGCTTGACTGCAGGTGACACAGTAACCAAGCTTTTAGAGAGATGGCATGTTTTGCATTTATTCTCACCACAGCAGCTCCCGTATTAAAGAGCTGGGCCTCTTGTGGCGATGTTTTCATCCACTTATTTTACCTGCAATAGAAGATTTGATGGGTGTTTGGTATGATTGGTTTTGCTGTGGCTATTATTGACCATTGGAGGGGGTAATACCACCACAGCTTAATGTTGTGCTACTTAGTTTTTCTTGTGGGAAACTTGCATCCGAATCAAAATGAGAAACACCTTAAAAAACACAATAACTTTGTCTTGGTGGCACTGATGCAGGACCCATACAGTGTAAAAGATATGTGTAATTTTATTTAATGAGGTAGTTTCATTTAGAGATCAAGATCTGTTTTTCAGAAATAACACAACCACACCACCAGCATACAAGAAACTATGAATACATGGTATCATGTATCAGGCTGCCATATTAAAGAAGAGTAATAAAAAGAAAAGGAAACGAAAAGTCATATGTATCTCTATTTATTGCTTAAAAATAAGGAACAACGTATCAAAATTTACTGTAATTTGACTTCTTGGAAAAATCCACTAATATCATGTTCATCCTTTAGCCATTGTTGGAAAAAGCTACTAACATGAATCACAAGGCCTCTAAATGACTTTATGACACCCTCGAAACTAGATATACAGTTGTTAGCCTCCAGCATGATACAGCATTTCAATTCTGGGATACAAGTTAAACAATGAACACATCAGAACACAAGAGCACTTCCAATTATTTGAAGTAAATATTTTTAAAATGTTGTATGAGGTAGTGATGTCAAATGTTCCTCCTTAAAACAAGAAACCGGTGGAATATATTCCCAATACACTTGCTATGAAACAGTTCATAGATATAACATTTCATGATTTCTTGGTCCTGAAGCTTAAGGCCACAATGATGCATCTGAAATGTTTTCTCCTCTCTCCTTTTCTCCCGGTGTATTGTCTATGAGTCAGAAGAGAATATATTGTATGTGAAGCTGTGGACAAAAGCAATCAGCTAGGCTGTTTTCATTTTCTATAAAATGGTATTTTGAGTGTGTGTTTTCAAACCATTGCCATAGTTCTGCTTGTGAGTTGCTGTGACCACAAAAAAGAGATTGTTGTCTCTCTCATCTGTTGCTAAAATAATAATAATAATACAATTTATTTATAAGCGCTTTTCTGGATACTCAAAGACACTTTACATAAAGGCGACATAAAAGCAGCAAAAATAACATAAAATAGTAAAAACACTAAAAACACATTGGACTAAGCTAAGCTAAACATTAAAAGCAATTTTAAAAAGGTGAGTTTTTGTCAATGATTTGAACGCTGGAAGGTCGGTGCAGCCACGGATTTGTTTGGAGAGAGAGTTCCAGAGGGAGGGAGCAGCTACAGACAAGGCTCTGTCGCCCCAGGTTCGGTGCTTGGTCCTGGGTGGTGGGGTCAGGAAGTTTGCAGTGGTTCTGACGGTAGTCTATTACACTGAACAAAATTATAAATGCAACACTTTTGTTTTTGCCCCCATTCATCATGAGCTGAACTCAAAGATCTAAGACTTTCTCTATGTACACAAAGCCTATTTCTCTCAAATATTGTTCACAAATCTGTCAAAATCTGTGTTAGTGAGCACTTCTCCTTTGCCCAGATAATCCGTCCACCTCACAGGTGTGGGATATCAAGATGCTGACCAGACAGCAAGAGTATTGCACAGGTGTGCCTTAGGCTGGCCACAATAAAAGGCCACTCGAAAATGTGCAGTTTCACTGTATTGGGGGGGTCCGGGGGGGTCCGGAAACCAGTCAGTATCTGGTGTGACCACCATTTGCCTCACACAGTGCAACACATCTCTTTCGCATAGAGTTGATCAGGTTGTTGATTGTGGCCTGTGGAATGTTGGTCCACTCCTCTTCAATGGCTGTGCGAAGTTGCTGGATATTGGCAGGACCTGGAACAAGCTGTCATATACGCCGATCCAGAGCATCCCAAACATGCTCAACGGATGACATGTCCGGTGAGTATGCTGGCCATGCAAGAACTGGGATGTTTTCAGCTTCCAGGAATTGTGTACAGATCCTTGCAACATGGGGCCGTGCATTATCATGCTGCAACATGAGGTGACGGTCGTCAATGAATGGCACAACAATGGGCCTCAGGATCTTGTCACGGTATCTCTGTGCTTTCAAAATGCCATCAATAAAATGCACCTGTGTTCGTTGTCCATAACACACGCCTGCCCATACCATAACCCCAGCGCCACCATGGGCCACTCGATCCACAACGTTGACATCAGCAAACCGCTCACCCAAACGACGCCATACACGCTGTCTGCCATCTGCCCTGTACAGTGAAAACCGGGATTCATCCGTAAAGAGAACACCTCTCAAACCTTACGCAAACTGATTGTTGCAGCAGCTGTCAGATGATCTTGGAGGTGAAGATGCTGGATGTGGAGGTCCTGGGCTGGTGTGGTTACACGTGGTCTGCGGTTGTGAGGCCGGTTGGATGTACTGCCAAATTCTCTGAAACGCCTTTGGAGACGGCTTATGGTAGAGAAATGAACATTCAATTCATTGGCAACAGCTCTGGTGGACATTCCTGTAGTCAGCATGCCAATTGCACGCTCCCTCAAAACTTCTGTGGCATTGTGCTGTGTGATGGAACTGCACATTTTCGAGTGGCCTTTTATTGTGGCCAGCCTAAGGCACACCTGTGCAATACCCATGCTGTCTGGTCAGCATCTTGATATGCCACCACTGTGAGGTGGATGGATTATCTCGGCAAAGGAGAAGTTCTCACTAACACAGATTTTGACAGATTTGTGAACAATATTTGAGAGAAATAGGCCTTTTGTGTTCATAGAGAAAGTCTTAGATCTTTGAGTTCAGCTCATGAATAATGGGGGCAAAAACAAAAGTGTTGCATTTATAATTTTGTTCAGTGTATAATCAATAATTTACTTGTACCTACAAGCAAATTTGTTGCACCAGTAGATGCTTTTGTAATGTTGCAATCCAAGCAACATCTTGATGTTATATAATCTCAATCTTGTGTCTCAAATAGTTGTGTTTATTCTGTTTGTTAATACATCTCTATTTGAAGCTAAGAAATGGGCTTTTTTGAGAGTTAGATAAATGGAAGTAGTATGGAAAAGCAATCTTTTTTTTTTCTAAATGGAAAAATGTTTTGCTTGCTGTATCTTTGGAATTATCATAATAAAAGCATATTGATGGATTATTTGCATAAACAAACTCTCAGATAGATGTTAATGTTTTTGTGTGCTGTTGCAGGAAGGTCATCTACCGCCAGCTCTGCTGTCTGAATTGGCTGCTGGAGGCCTTGACTCTGGATCGCTCCGGCAGAGTCGCCCCCCTCGCGGCCTGCTGGGACCCCAAGTAAGTTATTCTGGAGTCAAAGGTTCTTACAACCCACACACAACTACTCGGTGGTCAGTCAAAGCAAATGTGTGAATAAGACGTTACATTTTAAAGCTGCCTAATGCAAATATACACTGATACTACTTATCTGCCCCCCCTTCTGTGTAAAACTCATAGCTTTAATTGCACAAATAAAATCATGTTTTATGATTTCTTGGTACAGAAGCTGAAGGCCCCAGTGGTACATGTTTTTTCTCCTGAATAGTTTATGTCTTTTTATATGCTGTGGATATTTGTGAAAACATGACCTATTTAACTTATATGTTTAATGAATTGATAATCCTTCAGTTATTTTAGATAGTGTTCACGTTCGACAAGATAACTGTGCATATATGTTGAGCAATGAGACAGAAACACATAGAGCATTGGGATTATGACAGAGACTGCCTTCATACTCTCACAAAGCGCCATACATAAAACATTACCTGTCATTTATTAAAGAGTGATTCCACTAGCTGGAGCCCCAGTCCAGAGGCTAAAACACTGCAGCATGAGTGACATATCCATCAGCGATCAGCTCATTACGACTCTGACCTCTGCACGCTGACCGATGAGTAACTTCTGTCAAATCCACACTGTTTTTAAGTGAGCCACCTGAAGAGACGTTGCATCTGTATTGTAGAGAGCCGATGATGAAGGGTGGTGGTGATCAGGGAGCTGCAGGCACGAGCTGACAGTGCTGGATGAAATATAAAGTCAAAAGCTCCGGAGGGGGTCCAGGTTTAGCGAGAAGATTGCATTCTTCCATCTTTGCCCCCCACCCCTCCAGGTTTCAGCTCCCATGATATTGACCCACAACAGGGAGTCGAGAGCGGGGAAATGGAGGGAGCGCAGTGCAGCAGCTGTGTGGTGCTTAAACTCACTAAAATATGTTTAACCCACAGGATTACACATCTGTAGTCTGCTTTAATTCCTCAAAGGCAGTCGTTTCCAAAGTCCCCTCTTCACATTTCTTTTTTGTTCTTTTTTTTTTTTCTTGCCTTGATATTGATCTATGTTGATCTTTATGGTCTGTCTCCAAGTGTCAGAGGAGACCGGACTGTGAGAATGGATGAATTCATAAAGTTTAAAGGCGACTGTACCATGCACAGTCATAGTGGTTCCTGGTAGAATGTAGTACAGGAATATTATTGCACACAACTGTAAGCCTTGAATAATTGATAGAAGAATAAAAAAGAAAAGGAAGGAACGGAAGGAAAGGGAGGAAAAGAGCTACAAAGAGAATTTTTTTTTATACCCAAACGTCATCATGTTACAGCCTCCAGGGCCTTCACTCAGCTTCAAATCCAATTTCCCAGAAAGTCTTAAGCTTTATGGGCCAAATGATCCAGCTGAGGTATTACTGTACAGGAAGACAAGGAGAGGATGAAATGAAACATTATCACAAGGTTACGACACTGCTGGGCCCTCCACCAGGCGGGCAGCTCTGATGTCGGGCATCAATCTAAAACACTACACAGTTTTTACGATAAGATGAATTATGATTTTGATAACGGCCGGAGCGACTCTCGAGCTTGTCTCTGCCTCGAAGGGCGGTTGCGACTTGCGGTGAATCGCAGAAGGTCACCAAAGTGATGAATGTATCACAACAGTGGCTATTATTTTCCATTCGCAGAGACCCTGGCCGAGGCAGGACCACGATAAAGACACTGAAAAAGGAGAGAGCCATTGAGAACAAATGGGAGCAATTCGTTTCAGCCAAGGTACCCCTCACTCTTATTCACTCTTTTTATTGTAATTATTGAGGTGTTTTAATTTTTTTATATTTAGTTTATTTGCATTTACATTACATTACCAAAAGTATGTGGACAGCCCTGTCCGCATACTGTATACTTTTGTTATGGGACTGTTTCCCATGTTTTTGCTGAGTCTGGTCATATTCTATATCTTATATCTGATATTCTCGTTACTGTCAAAAAATCCCATGAGAAGCCCATAACCAATAATGACCTGATTTCACTATCCCACCAAACGATGGTGCATCTGTGCATCTGTGCATCCAATGCCTTATATATCTTAATCCACTTCCACACTTGCTTCAGGCCAATGATAATTCAAGGGTCCAGTGTGTAACTTGTAGGAGAATCTATTGGCATAAATGGAATATAACATGCATAACTATGTTTTCAATCACCTGAAAATAAGAATCGTTGGAGAATGTGTTGCAGCGGGTTGCTTTCTATGGAGGCCACTCTGTTTTTACAGTAGGTCCAAATAAACAAACCAAACACTGCTCAAGATAGGGGCATTCTTGCTTTTCACACATTTCATGGCCACTGTAGTTTCTCCTTTGTGTGGGGAGGGGGAAGCCAGGGATTTCCAATCTGCAACTACACAGCTAGATGTGTGGTCCTTTAAATAATAGTGTGTCCCCAACTTTGTGGCAGAGGTTTGGTTCAGGCCCTTTCCTGTTGCAACATTACAATGCTCCTGTGCACAAAGTGAGATCCATAAAGAAATAGTTTTCCCAGTTTGGTGTGGAGGAACTCGACTGGCCTCCCAGAGCCCTAAACTCAACCCCATCCAACACCTTTAGGATGAGCTGGAAGACTGACTGTGAGCCAGGCTTTATTGCCCAACATCATTGTTGGGCCTCACTAATTTTCTGGTGGCTGAATGGGAGCAAACTCCTACAGCCAGGTTCCAAAACATGTTCAGCAATCTCTTATCACTGTAACATTTGTGTGTCTACATCCTTTTTTCTCCTTCTGGACTGACTTTGATCTCAGCAGAAGGTTGGAGTTTGCCCAGGACTTATCTTTTAAAGTCTTCTACCTGCCATGCTCTGCAGAAAGAGAGAAATCCTGCACTGTGACAGGTGCAAACACACAAACGTAGATACACAGAGAAAAAAGGGAAAAGTAAGGTGCATTTACTCACTTATGCTCAAGCCCTATACTTAATAGACTCTAACACTTTAATCCTAATGCGCAGGCACACTTACTTAAACAGTCAAACATGCATGCTTACACCCACAGATTGACTTGTAAGCAAAAAGCATGTTCACACACACACACACACACACACACACACACAGACACACACACACACACACTTACTCCTCAGGGGATGACAGTGTGTGGCAGTAGAGGACATTTGGAGAGCTGTTGCTGCCTTTGCTGAAGTGTTGTGCTTCCTTCCACCCTGATAATTAGGCTGATGGGAGCGTCACACACACTTAAGGCCCAGGTCTTCTCTGACAGACAGGTGGAAGAGAGGGAAGGGCATAGGGGTGAGTGCAGGGAGGGAGAGACGTGTCTGGCTCCTTTCTGTTGCTCATACGTCGTCCTGTCGTCTACCTATGGGTGTGTGCCAAGCTACAGCCTATCAACTTGTCTGTGTTTGCATATGTGTGTGTGTGTTTGCATATTTCTGCACTTATGAGGATGAAATGTCTCCACAAGGAGCTAATACAAAAGACTATTATAATAAGAACATTTCACCATTTTGAGGGCTTTTTTATTGTTGGTTGGTCTGCTTTAATATTTCTTAGAACTGGCCAAACACAGATGGTGAGACATCACATTGAGATATTTCAAGCATGACGAAAATGGAGCTTGATGCAAAAACTTTTAAAGATCTAAACCGTCAGTGGTTACTGCCAGGTTTTAGTCGGTCTCTCAAACAATTGCTAAGAACCTCCATTCTGTGCTGACATTCAACTGTTATACACAGAGAAAAGAGGCAATTATAGCCCGTTAGAGTCTCTGTTGACAGTAGCCTCAATAGATGACAATGTGAGACAGCCATTAGAGATGTTGTGTTTTGAGTAGGGGGTGTGGTAGCTATTATAGACACTTGTGTGGCTAACTATACTGTGTTTGGATGACAAATGTCTACCTTTGACTGACAACAAGTCCATGCCCATTTTCATTGGGGGGTTTCAAAAGGCAACCTGGGAAATGCATGAAACAAGTTTAAAGATTAGGATTAGATTATGAGGTTAGGATTAAAGAAGGAACTCCACTGTAATCTCATGGCAGAAAAGCTTTGTTGTACTGACCTCTATGGGTTGAAAGAATGAAGTCTTGTGACCACAACAAACAGTTTGTTGACCCTGTGTGTGCATTCTGTGTGATAAACTAAACATATGCTGTCCTTTTATGTATTCATATTAATGTGAACTTGGGAACTACCTTTTCTCTCCTTCCCTCGTCCCCCTCCAAAAGCCTCAGAGAGCTCATCGGAGGCGCCCTTGCAGCTCCTCTGCTCGCCTGCACACCCACAGGAAGTCTTCCTTCGCGAGTGTGGTGTCCCTCTCGGCCCTCACCTCCACCACTGTGGGCAGTAGTGTGTCCTCTCTGGTCCAAGGCGCTGAGGAGGACACTGAGTGTCCAGCAGCAGCAGAGGAGACAGAGCAGCCCCCCTCAGAGTGTAAGTTGTCAGAATGGGAAAAAAGAGTTTCATTGGTGGAGTCCCAGCTGACAGAAGAAGCGTGGAATATTTTGGCACTATTAACTGACCTGGCTGACCATCCCTACAAACGGTACAGGCATCTGAAAGAGTTACGTCAAAATGAGTCTCTAAGCTTACCTACGTATAGATGGAGGATATGTAAATTAAGGGCAACAGATTGCAGACAGACAGCAATTTTAGCTTGCATGCTGACAACAAATGTTAATGTTAGATATGAGACACATATCAATACCAGGTGTAAAAGGAGGTCCTTGAGTCACTTCTTTATGGTATGCAGGGATGGGTTGCACATGCAGTAGCATTCAGTCATCTCCTTGTTGTTGCAGGAATGCAGAGTATGGAATAGACCCTGTGCATTTCCCATCAGTACTGTCACTTTGCTAAGTTGTCTTTGAAAAATTTGATTAAGACCCTTTCCATGTTCCTTGTATGACACTGAAATGCAAAAAAACACCACATAATGAACCATTTATGAAAACATAACCAGTATATGCTAAAGTCTAAGCTCCTCATGTCAAAAGCAAAATGTCACAACTTCAGTTTTAAGGCAGAATGAACCAAAACTCAACCCTACACCCACCCAATATGAATCTAAACTGGACCTAGAGGAACAAAAGAGCAAGCCAAAACAATCTCTCTTCACAAAAACACCCCCCACTTTGGAAATGGAAAGAAGAATTGTTCACAGACTCTCACAAAAAACTGAGGTCTGTTGTTGTCATAGAAACAGCTGTTTGACTTGAACTAATGATCACAAAGCCTTAAAAAGTCACTTTATTCCTGCAAACAGAGACAGAGACAGCTGTACAGAAACAGAACATGATGGCACCTGAATTCCCTGTCCACACACACGCACACACACTTACCAACCACCTGCTGAGTCTGAAATGGAAACCAAAATAAGAGTTGGGTCTGTTCGATACTCTACTCAGCTGGGTGATCAGAGCGTTTGTGCCAGGGCTCAGCCGTGCTATGCCCTGGGCAGCTTCCCAGGGTGCACTGCTTCAGGCTTCAGAGCATGGTATAATTAGTCATCTGATCTCTCCCACCACCCCCGCCTCCTGTAGATTACAGGTTTCATATCATTACCTCCTGATGAAAAGACTGTTGAGCTAACTGTCACTGCTTGAGTCACTGTCAGATTGTTGTTTCTTCTTTATCCTCTCCATTACTCTCTCTTTCTCACATTTTATTTTCTTTCTCCCTCCGTCCCTCCCTCTCTCCCTCCCGCGCTCTCTCTGTAATCATAAAAGGAGTCCAAAAATCAAAGGATTAATTCAGCGTCATTGGTTTAAAGCAATTAACTGCTGTTCAGGCTAATCCCCAGAGTTATGTCTCAAATCCAGAAATTGGCCACTGGAGATGTGCAGCTCTGCCCACACTACATTGTTTTGCCTGGTAAATGAAGTTGAAAGTGGAGTTCTTTGCTTTGAGAAGTAGTTTTTCAAACTCTTTGATGAAAAAAGGAATTGTAAAACTCTGTATAATTAGGAGGTTTATCTTTGCATTTCAATGCCTCCCCCAGTAGTTTTTTTAGCAGTACAGATAGTTAATCCGCCGCATTCATTTGGGATAATTAAAATAAGAACTCTATTTATTCAATCTAAAGCCAGCCAATTTGCAAAAGTTATTGGCTATTACAGTTTTGGCTGCAGGTTTTTATAGCTATTCCTCATGAGAAATCATGCTGTACATTTTAATAAGTGCCTCGTCTGCCTGATTTGCCACACTGTGATTAATTTTGTCACAGCTCATAGAGAAGTTGAATCATTTAGGCTGGTATTTAACATTTTAATGAATGCTTTATGCTCTCTGGAAGCTTCATGAAGATTTATTCTTTCATCACCGTGTGTGACATCTATGTATAAACTGCTAGCTGCTGCTTCAGTGGGATTACACATTAGGATAAACTTTTCTCAATTAATTTCATGGTGTAATGACATTAAGTGAACACCAGAGGGAGCTATTAGATTATATAATAAAACACTATAGACAATAAGACATTTTGACTTTAGATTGTAACTTTGCTTATTTTTAAATACATGCATTGCAGTAATATTTGCACACACTCTCAGTATGTTTTTTTGTACAATTCAGCCAACTTATATTTTCGTTACTTATGTATCTACAACCTCTTATATATCAATCCTACAATATTGTGATCACTTAAAACAAAGTGCCTGCTTTACCATGCCACAGTTGTTAACATGATGAGTTCAACCAAAGAGATATTTCATTTGAAGGATTTTTAGGGGCCTAAAGTGAAAAGAAATGTAAATCAGTATAATTTTGTGTAACAGAATATTTTTTCTTTTTCATCTTGGTACCTGCAAACCCCTTGGAGGGGTCCTTACAGCACATGACATTAGATCTATCAGGCAATATTGAAGGCAAGCTTTATTTAAATTTCATAAACAGGGAAAACTCAATGTGCTTTAGATGAACATTAAAAAGGAAAGAAAGCATAGGAGAAAGTAACAATAGTCAAACAGAATAGACACTTAGAACAACAGAGAAAATGTTTCAGGCTGCTTTTAAAAGTTATCAGTGAAGAAACAAAGAGCATAAAAACTAAAAGCAGCTGTTTGTACTGTTTATGAACTGACCCTTGTGGGCTCATCAATTACTGTTACACATTAACAAATACATTATATTGATTAGTATATATTGGCAGGGTGGCATGCAGTAGGTTGAGTCTAACAACAGAGAAATGCTCTGTGTGAAGGGTGCATTGAATGAGAGCTTTACTGTGTACAGTGTATAAACCTGACTTGACTCGACATCACTCCTGAACCAAAAACCCAGCTTTCCTTCAACTCTGCATCACATGAAAAATAATGTCTTCAGTTGTGCAAATCCTTCACAAACCATTAGAAAATTTGAGCTAGAGAGAGTTACATATCTATAATATGCACTGATGCAAGAGACAAAGAGAAATGGAGCAGAGTCTAGTTAACTTTTGTTTTTTTATCTCTAGGTCTTCGCACACTCTCAGATGTCCATCAGAAAGTCAAGAAAAAGAGCCAAAGCAGCAGACACACAGAAAGGTAAGTTCAACTTGCACTGATCTACATTTTAGTAGCCCTCCAGCTCATGACTTGTTTTCCAGCAGCCTGTAAGATAAACATGGTATAAAGATTACAACCCAGTATCATTATGAGCCTCCTGCCATAAATCCTTAAAGTCTACCCCTGACTGCTGTTGTTTCTCAGGGCTGGCCTCCCATTATGATGTAGGCAGTGGCAATAACTTTAACAGTAGCAAAGGCTTTATTCCCTAAATCAACTAATTGTAAAGAGGACAAAAGTCCAGGCTATCATGCCCAGGGCAATATTCCAGTGACCCTGGAGTGATTATGTAAAGAAGAGCAGGGGAAAGCAGTGGCAGCTCAACCTGTACTATTCTCACATGCTCTGTGGTGACAGCCCTTCAATTTGTGCATCTATTCTTAGTCCTCCTCATCATCATTCTTCCTCTGGCCTATTCGCAGTTTTGAAGGCAGTGATGTAAAAGACTATGTCAGGAATTCACTGTAAGGCGTCAGTGGAATTGTGTTGTGGATGAGAGGACAAAGGGGCACGTTGTAAAATGTTATCAGGGGACATGTCATGGGTGCTTTCTACTACCTGATATTTACCTCAGTTGTTAAAGGTGACAGCATGATTACCACCATTCAATGACTGATTGCATGTGCCACTATTTTCTCTCAGCCAGCAGAGCTTTCAGTTATAATGAGTTTGTGCCACAAGGTTTGAACCAACCGTTGACGTTCAATAGCTGATGTGCAAAATTTGATCACTCCAAAGATATGACCGTATTTGCATTTCAGTTGAATTCTTCATGCATATATGAAGTCATCAAATGCATAAAAACAAATATAAACACAAATTCACATAAAACATGTCAAAAGAAAACCAAGAGCATTAGAAAACATGTGAAAGTGTATTAACTGCTACCTTTTCAAATAGAAAACAACAACAAATGGCACCATTAAGACCCAATCATACTAAATACTATCATTGCAAAACAACAAAACCTGGGCCCTGTTTCACAAAAGCATCTTAAGGCTAATATGATTGCATATAGACTTACAATGGGACTAAGATGATTTTAAGCTTAATGTGCTTTTGGGAAATAGGGCCCAGACTTTATTCTGTATCTCAGAGGAATATCTCTGGCGACATCCGATCTCAGAAACTCCATTTGACCTATCCCTACTTTAACAGTCTCTTCTATAAACAGGTCGGACTTGTTGTAACCATCCTCTGTTCCAGTTTGACAATACCTGAGTCCAAAACCCAGCCTTTACCCCAGAGAACTGACAACCAATCCGGCTCCAAGACCACAATGAGTTTTTGGCCCAAAGGGTGCAACTGCAACTGCACCTATAGGGCCTAATGTGTGACTTTTATGTTAACCTTAATCACTTATTTAACCTACTGTATGGTACATTTGTCAATACCCTCTCAAAATTTTAAAAAAGGAGGTCAAAGAGGCGAAGTCGGCACACCTGGTTTATTGCTTCTGTCAAAATATAATAGCTATATCATATTATAAAAATGTTAAATGGTTTGTTCAAGATGTTTTTTTCATTTTCTACATACAGTGCATACAGTCCATGCATACAGTGAAATCCATACCTATTTGAATGGAGACACATGTTTATGTGGTATTGGCTCCGTACTTTTTAGCTACAGTTTGGATTTTAAACAAAACAGTATCTATTAGATTGAAGTGCTGATTTTCAACTTGAAATATGTTTGAGGAGCCATATTGGTTGAACAGTGTAACAGTCACAGCTATATTTATACATCGTGCCCCAGTATCAGGGCTGTGCAGCAAGAACCCTAAATATACAGCAAGTAGTGAGTTTTAGGTACAAACAGTGGAACTGCTGTCACCAAATATTAAATAGGATGACTTTATTTAAGTTTATTTGTATTGGGTCCACTAAAATTGGGGGGCTGGGCTTTGTATATAAATATCTATAATTCATACACTGAGAGTATGCATGGTAACCCCATACTGTTTCATTTTAAAGGCAGTGTGCTAGGAATCCTTGGATGCATATACAATAGCAAAGGAATGTGTCATTTTATACATTGTATGCATGTTGTATACAATGAACCATTTTTTTGTCAAAGACTTGGTATGTGCTTGAGACAAATTTTTTCTCAAAAGCTGACACAAAGAGACATTTTATTGCATAATCATGACTACCAATCTGTGAACACAACAAAAAATAATTTGTGTTTTTCTTTCCTACATCCAGCTGTCCTGCCAAGCCCCCATTAGCCATCAGCCATCTAATCAACAACGAGGCCACCATGCTGCGGGACGTAAAAGCTGTCTTTGACGAACGGGTTGAGGAGCTGGCTCAAACCTACATCGACACCCTGGAGCTCAAAGCCAGGTCTGGCAAACATCCAGCCCTAACAATTTCATAACAATTCCTTCTGATTTGTTTTCCCAAGTTATCACGCAATTATCAGCATGCAGCAGAGGATACTGCATGTCTCAGATGCATCATCTTTACAAAATTATTGTTTCCCCAAAAGCAAAAGTTAAAATTCAAGGGATGAATAGATGTTCAAAAGTGATATAGTTTCTGTACAAATCCATACCTTTTGAAAGAGTCAGTCTGTGTACCCCTTCTTTCAGTCTTTAAGCTAAGCTAAAATGCTGCTGACTGTCGCTTCATATTTAACATACAGTATTCCTACTAATTTCAGGGATGTTATTGTTTAGGATATCATTATGGTTTCAGTGGTCTGAATTTGTTCTGCTATGACAGATGATGCCTGATTTTGTTTCTTCATTCATTCATTAACAGAGCTGATGGAATTTAAATTCCTGAGTTTGCATATTCTACTTCATGTTTCAGGCAGATCCACAGTGAAACAGGTTAGGGTTGGGATTAGCATCCTAGACAGAGCACTGCACTGGGAGGACATCCAAGAGGGCACTTTTGCCACCTGTGTTAATTAGCATGATCTTGTCATGTTTTATCATGTTATAGACTTTAGCCCACTTACTCTGTGAGCTGACTCTGAGGGTAAACATTTACAATTTATGCAACTGCCATGTTTGCTCTGTTATATCAGTCAGTGTGTGCTTAATACAAGTCAAATACAGCCAGTGTGCCAATACATTACAAACTATGTGATGAGTGTGAGATAATGTCTTCTTCTCCCATCCAGAAAGAGGTTAAACAGCAGTCTCCAGATGTATCAAGGCCTGTCTCACATGACTGAACCCCATGGCTTTCCTCATCATGTGACCTGCATTTCTCAAGAGACAGAAGCTCCACACAACAATAAAAATAACCACAACAACAATATGTGGTATGCAGCCTGTTGAAGACATTATGTAGTGTGGAATGTGGAGTGTGTGGTGGGGTGTGGTTGAGTGTGGTGGGGGTGTTATTGGGGTGTTATTGGGGTGGGGGTCAGACACATCTGTGGAACTGCATACACATGTGCTATGCGTATGTGTTAGCATTCAAACTAATAAACACAATATTCTTATGTGTTGTAGCACGATGTTGTCTGCAGACCTGATACTGATGCTGGCCTTTTCTGTCTTTTTCTTCCAGGCTGTGCACTCTGCTGAGCAGCCTGCCTGAGGAGGTGTGCAGGGAGCGAGCAGTGAGCCGGGTGCTGGAGAAGCTGAGTGGTTTCGCAGAGCAGCAGACGCTCAGGGTTCGACCTCAGCTCTTCCTGAAGGTGCTGGGGGGTCTGGAGCCGTGGGAGCTATGTCTGCCTGAGATGTGTGTGGCCATCCAGGTACACAAAAGACCTCATTCCACATTTCTTAAATGTTTGTGAAAACAATCATCCAGGGATTTCTGCAACAAATAATAAAATGAAAGACTGTATTTAAAAAAGGAGGCTTTACTACATAAATAATCAAACCAAAAGGTTTAACCATCATCATGTGATCACCTTGTCATTGGGTCATAATTAGTGAAAATATTACACCTTTTTCCCCACTTTATTTATCTATTATAAATACTTAATTTATTTAAAGAATAACGATCACACTTTGTATTTGCCCTTTTTACACTTAACTCCATTGGCATTAAATGTGAGGAACAGACAACACGACCCTGCCCAATATAAATGACAACTATATTTACCGATGTGGTCATGAAGGCTGAGTTTGTAAAAAGCAGGCTTTTGTCATTTACGCAACATTAAAATTTTCTACATGTAACGTTACAGACCTTTACAACTGGAATCTGTCCATATTTGAAGTTGATCCTGTTTTATGAACTAGGTAATAAATCAGAACAGACACAACTAAAAAATGTGTGATGCCCAAATTATTATTGCAGTTGGTTAGCCGATTAAAAATTGTCTTGTTTGTGCCCAGCAGAAAGATTTCCTAATGATGTATTTCTACAGGGTCTGTGCACAAATTAAAAGAGATTTGATCGTTGGATTGTATTTACTTCCTCTAATCTTCCCCCAAACTTTAAGCCCGACAGTAAACTGTCTGCCACTCCCACCAAACCATCAATTAGGGACGATCTGCACTCCAGGACTAACAGACTCCAGACCCTCTGAACACGCCCCTACCGGTCAGAAATGAGGGGGCAATACATCCTTCCCAGACTCCAGAGCAGATAGCTGAAGGTGTAATGACAGGAGGCTGACTGATAAATGACACCGGCATATAGTAAAGTTGGCTCACTGATTTAGAGGGTCGGTCACTGGCCGTTTTCCTCTCTGTGTGCCTTTTGACGACAGTTTGTGGCAGTGTCCCTCTCAGTGTCGCAGATGACTTGCTTTGGTTTCCATTTCTGGCTCAGCAGGAGGACACCAGGGTGGGCTGGGCTGGGGAATGTCTGGAATTGCTGGTGTCTGGCTGCCTTTAGGGGAAAGTTAGTCAGGGTTTGGGGCACCAAAGAATAATATCTTTTGGTTGCTAGGAGCAATATAAGTAAATAAGTCAACATAGAGATGCTCTGTTATCATCTACAAGAAAGTTTTTGTCCAACAACGACTCTGTGATCACCAGTTTCAGTTGTCTATTTGTGTTTTGTTTCTTACTTTTAACTGTATGAGGTGCCAACATACATTTCCATCTGTTTCTTACCCTCTTTATATCCCTCCTCAATTGTCAGATTGCCACAAAGCATGTGGTCCAGATGTCCAGGGAGCAGTATGATACCTGGCTGTGTTCAAGGGTCACTCTGCCCCCACAGTACCCTGATGCCCCTAAAACACCAGGTGAACCACACTCATCAAGACCTGGAGGAAGGCTACAGGCACAGACAACTAGATTAGGAGAAGACAGGCACACCAGGGTTGTAAATTAAATATAAGCTCAAGGTGTAAATTATCCTTAGAAGTGATGGAATAAAACACGAAGAGTAAAAGGATAAGTAAGAGTAGTTATAATGCATTTCAGCCCAGTCAATGTTCACTTGACTGGAAAAGCAGCAGCAGAGAAAATGCTAACTCCACAATAAGTAACAAATAACATTTGATTTATCAAGAGAATCTACTTTCAGTGGTTACAAAGAGCAACAAAATGCCAGCAAGCTGTTTTTCTAACACAGTTCCCCGTAAGTGTACAGTGATAACACAAGATTACAGGTCATAATTTGATAGAATCTTTAGTTCTGTAGTGCAAGGTGCCAAATTTTTGTGTGTGTTTATTTATTTTTTGCTAGTATTCCAGGACATTTATTGCATTTTGTGGTGATATCTCCCTATTCATGCTAATGGTCAAATAATGTTTCTATTTATTCTAAACTAACTGTGAAAATTAATTGCAAATCCCATCCCTTCCTGTTTGCAAGAACATTTTTCCTGGAAATACCTACTTGACTCAATGTTTGGACTAGCAAATGTACTGCAACAACAGAAGTGGCTACACAATCACACTCAGTATTACCTGTCTGTAGAGAGCAGTAAAACAGACATTTACATGACAATAAACCAGGCTACTGTTTTAATACTTCTGTTTTCACAAGTAATAATAATAGTAGATAAACAATCATATACTGACACTCCACTGGGCTATGGAACCCAGCCAAACATTCATAGTGACCTTTAACCCCGCCTCGCCTCCCAATAGGGTGGTGAGTAAAAGAGGCTGACCCTCAACTCTGACTGCCTGTTGGACACGATAAAATGAACTCACGTGTCATTACTTCGATCAGCACTTTGGAGAAACTGAAAGTGAATATTACTTTCTGGGTCTTATGACTGTGAATGTTTAAGCCTGATATCCCTTTTATGAAAATAATGTTCCATGTGATATATATGCACAATTAAAAGAAGTAAGCTATAAGTGGGTTGTTGTACTTCTAGTCCTCCATATCAATTTATGATAACATGTACTGTCATTTTTTCCATGTACGATGGGGCAGTGCACTTCAGTCTGTGTGTGTGTGTGTGTGTGTGTGTGTGTGTGTGTGTGTGTGTGTGTGCGATGGTAGTGGAGCAGCATGGAGTGAAAGGGGAAAGTTTCTTGCTTGGAAGAGGAGGAGTGGGATTGGGAACGGGTTCAGCAGTGAGCTAGCACTCATTTCAGGAATGCCACACTGTCTGGGAGCTGAGCTCAACCCACCCCCACAGCCCACACCCCTTGCTTAGCCCTGAGCAGGGGGGATGGTGGGGTGCAGGGCGGCAGAGGAAAACATGAGGGAGAACAAGAATTCTTTCATTTGAACTTCTCACTCAGGTTTTAGAGCTCATGCGTCTGGGTGTAATGTCTAGACCAAATAATGTGGAAGATACGGGACGAAAGTGCTAATAGTAAATATAGCTGCAAGTCAGTGTATTTAAACTGGTATAATTATGCACAAAAGTGAAATATAAAATAGGGTTTGAAGCTGAAAAAGGTCCTGAGTTGCAGAGAGTATGAGCTAGCTGGTTAAAATGAAAAGGTTTCTGTTCCAGAAGACAGATGTTTAATGAGCCGTGTCTGTATTACAAAAGGGGCTATGATTACAAGTTAGTATCAAAAACTTTAATGCTGCATATCATTGTGTCACCATTTGGTTATCTGAAAGACTTTAGCCTCAAAATTGATACAAGACAGTTGATTTTTTCACACATTAAAGGGAAACCAATTTTACATCTGAAGATCAGTTCACTCGTCTTAGTCTGAGGAAGATTACCCTGATGGTGTCGTAATGATGTGATCAGGATTATCTTAGTTTTGGCTTTATCTTTTAAAGAAAGTCTGTGTCACAAACTGGGGATGTTTGCATTCTTGGGGTGCCAATTTTGGGGTCCAATGAAAGACGCTATCAGGTTGCATTATAGGACCCAGGGTGAGACTCATAATCAGGGCTAAAAGTCAGGATATAGCCTCTGCTGCTTTGATTATGATAATTTTGTCTGAGTTTCCCTTTCAGTATGAAGAATTGACCCTGCTGTTTCTGCTTTTGCCTCTTTGCCATCCAGTATACACAGATTTCATGCTGTATGGGCCAACTAGTGAATGATGCAAGACGTAAGAAAAAAAATGGGCATTGAGTCAACCGTGTGGGAGGATTTTTTTTAAAAAACAGCTGCTATTGCAAGGCTGGTCTGCTGGTGGCACAATAGCGTGTGACCATGGTGTAGTCCATCCTAGATATACTGTCTGTAGTTTAGTTTGCAGTGTAGTCAAGACCTACAAACGTAGACCAACCATTTCACTGTAATTGGATGTAATTGGAGTGTTTAAAGTGCACATGGTTTTAAGGAGAAAGAGAAGGAAAACTGTCAAGTTTTCAGTTCTTGGATCTTAAACTTTTTTTTACTAATCTAAAAGCAGAGCACAGTACAACAGTACTAGTGAAGATAAAACAACAAGATTATAAATTCCTGAAGGATTTTAGGAATCTATGTATCATTCTGGTGAAAGCTTATAGTGGAGTATAACAGTGGAACAAGCTTTAACTCACCACCATTACAAGTAGTCAGAAGTAAGAACATCTGCTGAAACCTTTTCTGTTAAAATGTACCAGAAAACATTTTTAATTAAACATGACAGAACACTCTGTTTTCTGCTTCAGGATTAAGATGAGGATGAAGTCGTGTAGGTGTCCTGATCTTAAAACCTTGTGTTCTTTCCGCTACATCATATCATAAGCACAACGACCGAGGTGCCTACAGGAAAATTCAATATTTACTCTCCAATTTACCAGCAGCAGGCTCTCCGTGCTTGTGTAGTTATCAAAGTGAATTTGGCTGCATGGAAAGGAACAGGGGAGTGTTTGCTCAGTGGTGAAAAGTTGTGCAACCAAAAGCTAGATCTCAAACTTATTACATAAAAAGCTGAGTTGTAGTGAAATTAGGGGTTGGGAAATTTGGGCCTTATGTTACTCTTTCTATCTGATCATTTGTTCTTTGTAATCCTTGTTTTTACTTATTGGCAATGTTTGTAAAAAGGATATTAACCTTGTATTTTAGTTTCACCCATTGTGATCTGATAGCAGACTTCCTGAAATATCAAATGCAAAAGCTGCATGGGCTACAATGACATGCTTTTATCAGTTCCTTTATTGTGTCTTCCTGCTCCTGCATGTAGCCTTGGTTAGCCCTTTGTCCTACTGATAAATTCCCCGCAGCTGGCTCTTTGCACATGTAGACACTCTCTTATCACTGCTCAAACAGTTGGGGGTGTTCTCAAAGTCACGCACACAATTGAATTTTCTACCCAAATATTGTGTCCAGAGGTCCAGAGATCAGGACAAAAACTAGTGATTCATTGGATTTTCTTGTCACTGTGACAAATGTCATTAAGCCCAAGTTCAAAGTAACTTGTCACTCTGTCACACAAGCTGGGCTAAAGGCTGTCTTCACTACTGACCAAAATAGCCATGTAGCATTAGCTTAAAGTACACACATATGACACTTTTACAGCTGGGGCCACTGAGGGAAACCACCTGTTGGGGGTACAGTGGTGAAAATGTGCTGTTCTACTTCTACTTGGAATTATATAACATCTGACTATGACTGTACAGTATGTCAAATAGGTCCACATTATCCTTCTTGGAATATGAAGTGGATTTTGTAGTTTCCTCTATTTTGCATCAGTTTCATTTTAGTGGCAGAAATAAATGGGTTTATTGATTGATTACATGATTGTCTATGGACTGAGATCATTCTGTGACCAAATCTCCAAACGTGCTCTTAGATTTTTAGCCACGCTGTAGCTCCATGGCAGTGTCAACATCTACCGGATGAATTAGGTAAATTTAAATAGACGTTCATGGTTCCTAGACAGTGAATCCTTATGACTTTGTTGAGCCCATGACTTATCGTTAGGCGCCAACATCAGGTCAAATTTTGTCAAATTTTTCAGATGCCAAAAGCAAATACCTTTAAAACCAATTCCATTCCGATCAGCTTCAGTTGTACTCTGGTGGTACTCATCTGCTTGTTAGCACTGTCATTGTGAGCATGTAAGCATGGCAACGTTAGAAAAGAAATCGTCCTGTTGAGCCTACATCCTATTTTGTATGTATTTGTTCTCCAACTGTCTTCATCCTTCTGAAACCATGACACACAAAATGTTGAAGATGACTAACTTGCACCCCTGCCACCTAAAAAGAGGAAAACAATAAAGTTGACTCCTCTTTAAGTCAATATTCCTTAACAAATTTAGCTAGCTCGCTTGCTCACTGAGGTGAGACAGTTGAATGAAACATGACACACACAAGACAACATCCCCTCCATGGCAATGTTAGGGCGGACCCATAAATGGTGATAATAGTAATTTTCTGGTCCAGGCAGAGAGACTGAGGGGAAATTACAAAAATTTAAGTTATCTATTTATATTTAAGTTAACATTTAGGGCTGGAGCCCAAGAAGCCAACCCCACTCTCTGCCCATGAGCTTAAAACTCCACTGTATCTAAGTACAGCATCACAGAGCCGCTAGCATGGCTGTAGACTTTGTCTTGTTTAAAATATATATTATTATTGAACACAAGGCTTTTTTTTGAGTTTGAAAGCTGACGTGCACTTTGATCTGACCCGGTAGCGGGAGTGTTCAGTATTACAACAGACACAGTACAAGCTGTGACAGCTAAGAGATGTTTATTGTCTCAGATAGCATAGGTGGTCCTGATGAAAACACACGGAAGATGAAATTGAAACAAGGAATTACCGTACTTTGCTTGCCTATGTGTGTGCATGCCTGTGTGTCCTGTGCTCTGTGATCATGTTTAAGTAGACTTTGTAATTGATGGCTGACACAGGCTGACGCATGAGCCTTTAACCTCAGGGGCCTGGTTTAAGAAAGCAGTTAAAGGCTGTCCAAAAAGGTCTGGTTTGTGGTGTAACTGCAGCTCTGTTCTAAAAGTTGTTGAAGAGAAACTATCTTAGAAAGTTAGGACCTGAGAATTTGAATTAGATTGAGGATGGAGTAAAATGCAAATCTGTGTCAAGGTTATGAGAACTGAAGCCATTTAGATGATATCAAAAGATATTCATGATGTGCAGTTTAAATCCCCTTGATCCGCTCAGAATCTTTGTTACGTGGGTTTGCTGCCTTTGAGAGAGCTTCAAAGGGAGAATCTGCCACGCTGTGTAGGAGGAATCCAAGTGATTAATGTTTTCCTCCAGCAGACAGGCTGCCTCTTGCAGACCTGCCACGAGTACAGGAAGTGAAACCATGGCAATGGAGCCTTGTGTAATGTCTAACGCCGGTTCGCCCGCCGCTTGTATTAAATTGTGCCTATTAAATATCCCTCCAGGAAGCCTCAACTAGCCTGCTGTCATTCATCATACAAAATGTCCTAATTTCTTCCTCATTGCTGACCTCAAAAGCAAAAGATGATCTCTCTTTAAGATGAGAGTTTGATTCTTAACTGCTCTGAATAAGTGAGTATAGTCATCAGTTTCTGTGCTTTTTATGTGGTCATTCAACAATTAACCTACCTTGGAGAAATGACATCATTTCTGAGTGCAAGAAAGAAAAGTCAAGACTATTTTTTTCTACTTTGAAGAGATAATTAAAATTACATTGCATGTAATTAAGCAGCAATGTTAGCTTTACAAATATTTCATGTCTCCCTCCACTCAAAAATGTATTTTTCTTCTTCTTCTTTTCTTATTTCACTTGGATGTTTGACTTTCACTGTGCAGAAAGTGAACACAATGTGCAGTGTTTGATACTAGAAGGGTGCTTTTGCATTCATCTGCTGAATATTTCTCTGTGCACACCTTAAATCTGAGTTTAGGACATGTATGTACTTGCGGACGTTTGTGACATCTCAACTACTTTGAAGCTAATTATAATCTAAAAGGCAATTTACAGAAGTGTGATGTGGAAAACTTGATGTCTTTAGCC